TCTATGCAGACACTCATTGGCCAGATCACGCGTCTACAACCATACTCCTTACAGGATTATTACAAGTATTAACATCTAGGTGTACATATATCACTTACATCAGTCTCCATGACTCGTTATAAACTCCTTAAACAAGCTTATGGTTGCAGCGTCCACTGGGATGACATGACCACATGCATGACGTAACACCGTCCGAGAATCAACATCAAATAGCGAAACCAATTCCTCACTCTGCCGTTGGGTTACTTGACGATCTTGGCCTTGACAACTAGGTGTGCTGGTAACATCTACACCATTGCTGCAATTCGTGCTTGCTCCAAAGACGTGTAACGACGGCAGCTTTATCACTTGGCTGTTCTCCATCATCTCATGCATAAACGGATGGGCTTCTCTTGCAGCTACATACCCGGAGCAAAGAATCACAAACCGTATGCCGCCCCACACTCGCCTTTCCCCCACTGCTCCCCGACTCCCCGAACACTCGTCTCTCTCACTCCCCTCCGCACTCTGCAATCCCTCCCTCCCTCCACCTTCTCTCCTCTCTTTCCGACTGGACAGAGCATGAGCCTCTTTCCTTTCTTTACTAGCCAAAGCTGCAACAGCAGCAGCCACTGCTGCACCTTGGGAGAATCCCAACACCCCATCAAGCGGACCGAGCTCAGATACCACCTCCCTCAAATAAGACAAACTCGCTGCCCAGCCGTACACCTGCCCGTCCAGCTGGTCAGCAGGGAACCTGCAAGCTGGCAGCACATGTGGCGCTGCTGTGCGAGCTGGACTCGCCTCGGTGACAGCTGGCATACCCGTGACACCTGGCAACTCACTGGTGCTGCCAGCTGGCAGATCACCAGCAAGGCTGCTGGTGGAAGGAGGACGAGACGAGTGAGTCAGGTGCTGGGACAGGTTGAGAGAACTTGTTGTGGTGGTGGGGTGAGGAGGAGGAGGTGGCAAGGAGGGAAGCGTGGGGAAGGTGGTTGGTTGAAAGGAGCGTTCTTGAAGGGAGGTTGCTTGTAAGGAGGGTGCTTGAAGGGCGAGGTCAATGGGCCCTATTAGCCAGGCGAACTTGGTTCGAGGAGCGTGAGAGGCTTGAGTAGGAGAGGTAGGTGCAGGGGCAGGTGAAAGGGCAGGTGAAGGGGCAGCTATAGTGCCACCTGTTGAGGCACCTGAAGAATCGCCTGAAGGAACACCCAGGTGAGCACCTGAGGATGTGACAACGTGTGCGAGCGCATGTGGGGCGTCAATAAAGACAAACTCTGCCAACGACTTGAGCTTTCGCTGCAGTGCTCTCGTGCGGCCAGAAAAGGACGACGCGTTTTGTCTGAATCCGTGAAGACAAAGAATGCGAGCTTTAGATCTTGGACCCTCGCTGCTGCTGCTTTTGCTGTTGTCGCCGCTGTTGCCGCTGTCTGCAGCAACGTTAGTGGTAGTAGCAGTGCCGGTTGTGGCGGCTGCTGTCGTGGAAGCAGCCAATTCGAGGGTAGGGGCTGTAGTGGCAGCACTAATGCCAGCAGTGGTGGCAGCAATGGTGGCAGTGGTGGTGGCAGCGGTGGAAGCAGTAGTGGGAGTGGCAGCAGCGGCAGCAGCGGTAGGTGCAGGAGTTGCAGCAGCGATAGCACCAGTGCACTCAGGCTGCTGCCATGGCATAGGGCCCGCCACAATGTTCACCGCACACATGTGGTGTGTAGCCACAGCAGTGCCCCCCAGTAATTCACACACCAGACCGAAATGCAAGGAAGAGAGGGGTGTCATCTAAAGTGTCACGTCGGCAGAGGCCGGTTATGCAGAGGCAAAGTAACATCAGCAGCAGAGAAGGCAAAGTATGATGAGAGGGACCGAAACGGCTCATAATGTTTGCTCTTTGTGTCACTCGTGTAGTTAGTCGATTTTTGAGTCGACTCTCTGTCTGAGTCAACGACTAACTACACGCGGCTCATAATGTTTCCTCTTTTGTGTCGCTCTCTGTCTGTGTCAACGACCATAGAGCTTGAGAGACTAACAAGAAGTCTTTTGAGTCGACTCAAAAGTCACCTCTCTGTCAGGGTCAACGACCATAGAGATTGAGAGACAAACGAGAGAGAAGGTTTTGAATGACGCATTAGAACAAACCCACCCAGCGAAGACCTTTCAAGCATCCCTTGACACAACTCATAGACCACCCACCAGGGTTACCGGCGACGGGGAAAGGTGCTGTGGTAACTGCTGCAGCAACTGCTGCTGCTCGCTTTGCGGCTTTTTCTTTCGCCTCTGGCCTTGCCCATGACCGTGCCCCTGACCGTGCCCATGACCGTGCCCCTGCTCCTGCTTCTGCTCCTCTTGCGGTTCCTCCTGCTGCTGCTTCTTCCCCTGCTCCTGCTCCTGCCACTGTGCTTGGTCCTTGCACTTCATGCGATGTTGCTGCTGTGCTCTCGTAGGGTCTCCTGCTTTCTTCCCTTCCGTTATGCATCCCCCTTTCTGGCACATCTCACAGGTGACGTCAGACTGAAAAAAGGAGGGAAGGGGATAAAGGAGGCGGAACGGGAATCAACCCTCCAAATGCGGGAATCAACTCTCTCCAACTGTAGTCGACAAGTGGGCCCATTCACAGCCAGCACGTGCAGCACCACTACACCCAAGCATACCCATTCTCACCGCTTTATCACTCACCTCTGTCTCAGCACAAGTAGGGCACACGAGCAGCAGCATGCGGCATGCAGCGCAGCGGTTCCTTCCGCTGTAGTCGTCAAAAGGTTTTGCGCACACACAGCACGTGCCTATGGTTGCTTGCTGTGGCGCTGCTGGCGGTACCGCCAGGCTGGGAGGGGAGAGCGGGGACGGGTGGGGGTTGAAGGGAAGGCAGGGGAGAGACTGGTGTTTACAGTTCCTCCCGCTGTAGTCGTCAGAAGGCTTCTGCACAGGCAGCACACGCCTATGGTTGCTTGCTGCGGCGCTGCTGGCGGCACAGCCAGGCTGAGGGAGGGATTGAGGGGGAGAGAGGGTTGAGAGAGGGTTGAGAGAGGGTTGAGAGAAGGTTGAGAGAGGGTTGAGAGAGGGTTGAGAGAGGGTTGAGAGAGGGTTGAGAGAAAGGGAGGGGGGAAAATACTGATGGCACAAGCAGCGGTTCCTCCCGCTGTAGTCATCGAAAGGCCTCTCACACAGGCAGCAAGCTCCGATCGTTGCTTGCTGCGGCGCTGCTGGCAGCACAGCTAGGCTGGGAGGGGAGAGGGATAGGAAGAGAGCGAGGTTCGGAATAGGTGGGTTGAGAGGGGGAAGGACAGGGAGGGAGTGAGTGAGGGAGCGAGCGGCAGATCTTTGGACATACTTCCAGTGAGCAGCACTTGCGCAGGAGTAGGTTTTTGAGTCGACTCAAAAAGAGGTTCGGAACAGGTGGGTTGAGAGGGGGAAGGACAGGGAGGGAGTGAGTGAGGGAGCGAGCGGCGCAAAGGAGGAGAAAAGTGCTGATATGAGAACTGGGTTGGTACAGCAAGTCACCCCTCTCAAGGCATGAAAGACAGAGGCCTCTGACGGTCAAAGACAAAGGATTGTTTTTGTTTTGTTTTGTTTTGTTTTTTTTTTTGGGGTAAGAATTCGAAAAAAAACAGGTCAAATGCAAAGGTTCTCCCTCAAAATAGCCCCCCTCTGGGAAGTTCTGAATCAACTGATAAGTCATCTCTTACGGGGAATTCTGATAACGAATCTCACCGGTGGTCAAAGACAAAGTTCTTCCCTCGGAAGAACCCCCCATCAGGGAACGCCTCGAGATAGCGCACGATGCCCCCTGACAGCTGCACACATGGGAAAGGGTGCGAGGGGAAACCAAGGCATGGAATTACATGGTACGGATGGAAGGGAGAAGCCCCCCCCATCTGGGATCGCCTCGAGATAGCGCACGATGCCCCCTGACAGCTGCACATATAGGGCAGGGCGCAGCGCAAGGAGGAGCAAGGCATGAGATATGGGATGAGTTGGGATGGGTTGGGATGGGTTGGGATGGGTTGGGATGGGTTGGGATGGGTTGGGATGGGTTGGGATGGGTTGGGATGGGTTGGGATGGCATGAAGAAACCTCCATATCTGGGAACGCCTCGAGATAACGCACGATACCCCCTGAGCTGCATATGTAGAAGAGGCTTCACATATGTGGAGCATGGCATGATATGGTATCACACCTGCACCACACCTGCACCACACCTGCTCCACACCCTCAGAAGACCGTAGCTGACTCAGAGAGGAGCCCCCTCGTGCAGTATCCGCACAGCACCGCACAGCACCACACAGCACTACACAGCGCCGCAGAGCACCGCACACAACCAAGCATTCACACACCTGCACCACATCTTGGAAGCCAGGCCCCATGGATCGAAGGTACGCCGTGGCTGACTCACAACGGACCCCTCCCGTGCAGTACCTGAACCGCACCGCACCATGCAGAACCGCACAGAACCACATACAACCGAGCACATGCACACACCTGCACGACGTCTTGAAAGCCGGCCCCCTTGGATCGCAGGTAGGCCGTGGCTGACTCACATCGGACCCCTCCCGTGCAGTACCTGAGAGGGAGGGGATGGATGGAAGGGGATCGGGAGAAGAGGAGACAAGAGAGAGAGCAGAGCAGCATGAGAGAGAGGCAAGCCGCCCCGGCACCATGCCATGCCGCGATAAAAGGACTTTCCACTCGGATTGCAGATAGGCTGTGGCTGACTCATAGCGGACCGGACCCCTCCGATGCAATACAGGAGGTATTGTCCCCTATGTGGGTTGATTTTTGAGGCGCCTAAAAAATCAACTCACTGCATGTGGTGCAACACAGTGCACTCACTGTTTTGTCGCTCAGTTCCTCCCTCCTCGTGCCTGTCCACCCATGCAGGCAGATCCGATCACTAACATTCTAAACAGCTGCACTCACATAAGCACCGTTTCTCCCCCAGCTTATACTTGGCACTCACATAAGCACCGTTTCTCCCCCAGCTTATACTTGGCACTCACATAAGCACCGTTTCTTCCCCAGCTTACACTTGGCACTCACATAAGCACTGTCTTGTCCCTCAGTTCGTCTTCGTGCCTGTCCACCCATGCCGGCAGATCGCTGAACTGGCGAATGCAGGGGTCAATGAACGTGACACCTGAGGGAAAGTGTTAGAGTTCAGAGGTGGTGTTTCAAATCAAAGGTGTGCAGTGCGGTGCAAGAGAAGGGTATTCTCAGTTCCTCCTCGTGCCTGTCCGCCCATGCCGGCAGATCACTGAACTGGCGAATGCAGTGGTCGATGAATGTCACACCTGAGGGAAAGTGTTAGAGTTCAGAGGTGGTGTTACAATTCAAAGGTGTGCAGTGCGGTGCAAGAGAAGGGTATTCTCAGTTCCTCTTTGTGCCTGTACACCCATGCCGGCAGATCACTGAAGTGGCGAATGCAGGGGTCGATGAATGTCACACCCGAGGGGTGGTGGGGGTAGTGTTAGCATTAAGAGGTGTGCAGTGCGGTGTAAAAGAGAGGGGTATCCTCAGCTCCTCTTCGTGCCTGTCCATCCATGCAGGCAGATCACTGAACTGGCGAACGCAAGGGTCGATGAATGTGACGCCTGGAGGTAGTGTTAGGATTCAAAGGTGTGCAGAGGTGCTTAAAGGTTCAGAGGTGTGTCTCATACATACACACCTTTGGGCGGCACGAATCGTCCGATGCGCGTCTCGTAGACGTTCCTGGTGTCCAATACCACCATGCCACGTGGCACTCGCCCATCACCCTCCTGTCCCTCCTCCTTCTCCTCATCACACCCTCCTCTTGATTCCTCCTCTTCCTCCACTCCCCCATTTTCCTGCACCCCCCCTTGCCTACCGCCCTTCTCCACTCCCTCCTCCCTTTCTTCCTTCCTCTTCTCCTCCTCCCGTTCCTGCTCCCCTCTCTGTCCCCGCAGCATGAGCTTATGAAACGCCTCTGCAGACGCGTGGTCGCCTGTGAGGGAGAGGTCCACCGGGCATAGGGTTACCAGCTCCTGCGATGGAGGTAAGGTAACCAGGGAAGAGGGGACGAGGGAAGAGGGGTTGTGAGTAATGCTGATGCAGACGCGTGGACGCCTGTGAGGGAGAGGTTCACGGGGCATAGGGTTACCAGCTCCTGAGAGATGGCATGTAACCAGGGGATAGGGAAAAAAGAGGAGGGAAGAAATGGGAGAAGGGATAGGGGAAATGGGAGAAGGGATAGGGGAAATGGGAGAAGGGATAGGGGAAATGGGAGAAGGGATAGGGGAAATGGGAGAAGGGATAGGGGAAATGGGAGAAGGGATAGGGGAAATGGGAGAAGGGATAGGGGAAATGGGAGAAGGGATAGGGGAAATGGGAGAAGGGATAGGGGAAATGGGAGAAGGGATAGGGGAAATGGGAGAAAGGATAGGGGAAATGGGAGAAGGGATAGGGGAAATGGGAGAAGGGATAGGGGAAATGGGAGAAGGGATAGGGGAAATGGGAGAAGGGATAGGGGAAATGGGAGAAGGGATAGGGGAAATAGGAGAAGGGAGAGGGGAAATGGGAGAAGGGATAGGGGAAATGGGAGAAGGGATAGGGGAAATGGGAGAAGGGATAGGGGAAATGGGAGAAGGGATAGGGGAAATGGGAGAAGGGATAGGGGAAATGGGAGAAGGGATAGGGGAAATGGGAGAAGGGATAGGGGAAATGGGAGAAGGGATAGGGGAAATAGGAGAAGGGAGAGGGGAAATGGGAGAAGGGAGAGGGGAAATGGGAGAAGGGAGAGGGGAAATGGGAGAAGGGATAGGGGAAATGGGAGAAGGGATAGGGGAAATGGGAAAGGGATAGGGGAAATGGGAGAAGGGATAGGGGAAATGGGAGAAGGGATAGGGGAAATGGGAGAAGGGATAGGGGAAATGGGAGAAGGGATAGGGGAAATGGGAGAAGGGATAGGGGAAATGGGAGAAGGGATAGGGGAAATGGGAGAAGGGATAGGGGAAATGGGAGAAGGGATAGGGGAAATGGGAGAAGGGATAGGGGAAATGGGAGAAGGGATAGGGGAAATGGGAGAAGGGAGAGGGGAAATAAGTGAAGGGAGAGGGGAAACGGGAGAAGGGAGAGGGTGCATAAAAGTAGCACTCGCACCAGGGAGTGTGCACACACACATTGCACACACACATTGCACACACACATTGCACACACACATTGCACACACACATTGCACACACACTTCGCACACACACATTGCACATACAAAAGGGCTCCGGTGGCCAATCTTCAGAATTGCAGCTCTTCCGCTCTTAAAGAGGATGGAAAAATCCAATTTCCAACTAGATGCCCCAACCCCGCAACCTTAAAACCGGTACTCTGATACTTCTGTACCTTACCACACATAAACCCTGAACCCAGGATCCTCCCGTTACCTTGACTAATTGAACAGAGAGCGCGTGCACGTTGCACTCCCGCGCTATCCTGGGGTGGGGCGGGCAATCACAATGGGAAGCCACCAAGCTCAACCCCCAAACCCCTCAACCCCACACCCTCCGCATCCTGGTATCCGTACCTTGACTATCCGCACTGAGAGGGAGCGCGTGCACGTTGCACTCCCGCGCTATCCTGGGGTCGGGCGGCCAATCACAGTGGGAAGCCACCAAGCTCAACCCCCAAACCCCCCAACCCCGAACCCCTCAACCCCACACCCTCCGCATCCTGGTATCCGTACCTTGACTATCCGCACTGAGAGAGCATGCACGTTGCATTCCCGCGCTATCCTGGGATCCGGCGGCCAATCACAGCGCTCGAGCTTGAAGTCGGTGCGGGCGAACCAATTAGAAGGGTGGCCAGAGAGGGCGGCGATGTGATTATGTAGGGCGGACATGCGACCAACCACCTGCAAGTGATTATAACGAGGTTGGGGGGAACCATTTGGCGGGGTGGCTGGAGAGGCCGGCGATGTGACTGTGGAGGGCGGACATGCGACCCACTACCTGCCAGAACGTGGTTATAGCGGGGGTGGCGTTGGTCGTGAAATTCCAACAATACTGACCGTGACGTTAAAGCCTTGCTTAGACACGCGGACGCGACCCAGTAAACATTGTTCCTCGCAGATACGTCGCATCCAATCAGCTGCTGCCACGTCATCAGCAACGTCTACGTACTGGTAATACAGCAGCACGCCGTAGCCTTCCGGTTCTGTACTGTTCATCGGGTTTGTACCCGTTATAGTCTCACTCGACGCCATTGCACACACCGCAGACTAGAACGAGATAAGCGGGTTCTCTATTTCGAAGCGCCACAGAGGCAAATGAACGATTCAAAATTGATTATACCGAAGCCTACTAGCGCGGAAGTGCATACTATCGCGTACGAATAAGGCACGGTGAGAGGTAGCAGGGAAGGTGGGACCCTTGAGCTCACACTTAGTGATGGGTGGAGCCTTAGAGTTGTTGCGACTCGCGACTTGGTTGTGGTAATATATTTGCTTAGATTTTCGTGCTTTGTGAAAGTTTCGGAGTACAGTCGGTACAAAACGGTTAAAATACGAAAAAGTTTGTTCTCAACAGGTTCAGTACGTTTACTGCGCAATACTCACCTGTCTGGACAGGCAGAAACATAAGGAAATTGGCAGCGCGTTCATTTTCCTGGCTTAGCCCGAAACAGTTACCAGATTCAGGGGTTTGTAACCCCGATTTAGGGTAACCTGTGGACACGACGGAGTATACAGTGGATGAACGGTGGCTGTTTTCCGTGCCGTCAATCGAACAAAACACGTTCCCACAACGTCCGCGAACAACCCGCGCATCATTTGAGAAAGCCCTTGAAAACGTCAGCGAAACCGCACCACGACTTCGTCAAGCGCGTACGACCCTCGCAAATCCAAGGGTTCGAGTGTCTGGTGTGCACGAAGTTTTGCCACCTTCAATTCGGGGGCACAGGGTTACCTCGTTGGGTGGGCGGTTTGGCAAAAATGTGGCGGGTCCTGTGCCGGATTTTGGACGCGCGTGTCCCACCTGGGACACAAACTAAGCGCGGTACAAAAAAGCTACAGTAACCTCCAGATTCGACGGGTGTAAAAATTTTGTACAATTGGCGAAAATGAACGCGCTGCCCCCGCCCTTAGCCGTAAAATGTCTCGCTACAAGTCCTCTCCTCGCAAACCACAAGAGACCGATTCGTTATAGATATAATTCAGAAAACGTGTGTGTAGGATTTCGTTACAGAAGCTCTATAACAAAATTGAGAGCTGCTGTGAATAACGCCGATCCAATATGTGCTGTACACTTTATTCCATCGCAGCAGCGCCTTCTTTTGCCACTCCCCCTCCCCGCTTCTGTCGCCGCATTCGGCGCCGCGTATTGCGCAACACACCCAAAAGCTCATTCGCAGTTATGAATTCCATAGCCGTTAGTAACCGCGTCGTACTAACGACAAATTGTGCCAGCCACCGTCAGCAATGCCACGTCCCGCAGGAATTTCGAGCACGCGGTAGTAGCAGCGGTGGCGGCGCCAATTGCGCTCTCCCACCGAGCCTAAGCGTCGCAGAGTCTAGAAGCTTCCCGTCGGCCCATCGGAGCAGCTGCTTTAGTTCACATCCGACGTGGCAATTGCGCCGTTCCGAGAGCGCGCCGTGTTATCAGGCGGGCGATCCGACGTGTCAGCTTCACGCACGGCTGTCAGCCTTCACGAAGGATCACATTCTAGGCAATTGTTACCAATTTTCGCGAAATTGGCGACGGCAAAGTGTGTCTCGCAATGTACATCTGAGTCTGGTTTCCCTTAGATGCAGCCTCAACTCGTTGGCTTCTCCCATCTCTGCATCTGAACCGTCGATTTCCGGTCAATCTCCACCATCCATTCCCCACCAATCTCTGGTAGCATCCATCGCGGCATCGCAGCCGTCCATTCCATTCGCCCTGCCATCTCGACCGTTGATCTCAGCAAGCGACACGTGGGGGGTGTGGGCCGCGCTGCTAGCGGCCGCAGCTGTCGGCTTCTGGTCGGAGCGCCATACCGATTTAGGACGCGCTTTAAGCGGCCCGTTAGTCGCCACATTAGTAGGCCTCGCCGCGAGCAACTTAGGCCTAATTCCCTCCGAGGCGCCTGTTTACGGCATAGTTAATCGCTTCCTGCTGCCTCTAGCCGTTCCCCTGCTGCTATTCGCCGCCGACCTAAGGAGGGTGATTAAGGACACTGGGCGACTGCTTTTGGCGTTTTGTGTGGGCTCAGGTGCGTGTAGCGCTGCTCATCTCTAGCTCCTTCGTAGCATTTGCTGCGTTGCCTGCCACACGTCACAAGTCCTCCCTCTCCTCTCCTCTCCTCTCCTCTTCTCTTCCTCTTTTCCTCCTTCCCTCACCCCCCACCCTCTCCCTCCATTCAGTCCCCTCCCCCTCGCCCCTCTCCGTCCCCCATCCCCCCCTTCTTTCGCTCCTCCTCTCCCACATGCAGTCGGCACCATCTTTGGCACCCAGGTGGCCTTTGCCGCCCTGCCGCTCTCCCCTCTCTTCCCACTTACCCCCTCTCTTTCCCCCATTCTCTTACCCCCTCTCTTTCCCCCATTCTCTTACCCCCTCTCTTTCCCCCATTCTCTTACCCCCTCTCTTTCCCCTCTTCTCGCCACTACCCCCCACATCGTTTCTCCCCCCATTCAGTCGGCACTATCTTTGGCACCCTGGTGGCCTTTGCCGCCCTGCCGCTGCGGTCGCTGGGCGGCGACGGTTGGAAGATAGCGGCTGCACTGATGGGGCGACACATAGGGGGCGGTGCGTGCAAAGGGGGGGGGGGGGGGGGGTAGTAGGGGATGGGAGGGTGGCACCCGTCGCAGAGAGTGACTTGCCCCTTGAATTCCCACTTGTGAGAATTCTCAAAAGTGACTCCCAAACAGCAGGGAGTGAGAAGAGAATCAATGCAGGGCTCTCATCGGTGGTGACGGCAGCACTCGCAGCCGACAACCTGCTGTGCGCACTCCACTTCACCACACTCTAAACCTGCTGTATGCCCTAAGGGGGTGCATATGACTCACCCTCTCTCCCCTACTCCTCCCCCCCCAACATCCCTCCCAGCTGTGAACTATGTGGCAGTGACAGAGGCACTGCAGGCATCACCATCGGTGGTGACGGCAGCACTGGCAGCCGACAACCTGCTGTGCGCACTCCACTTCACCACGCTCTTTGCACTTGCTGCTAGCATTCCGGCGGAGGAGGAGGGAGAGAGCAGTGGTGCTGCTGATGCTACTGCCACACAGTCAGATTCAGCTGCTTCCACGGTGAGTGAGCACGGGCTGCACTGGCAGCGGTGGTAGCACTGGCAGCGGTGGTAGCACTGGCAGCGGTGGTAGCACTGGCAGCGGACAGACAACCTGCTGTGTGCGCTCCACTTCACCACCCTCTTCGCTCTTCGCTCTTGCAGCGGTTTCATACCCACGGAGAGGGAGGGGCTTGTGGGCTTTGCTTCTCTCCGAGGGAGGGGCTTTGCTTCTCGGGCGCCGCCTACCCCTCAGCACTCGCCGCTCCCATGTGACATTATTCCGAGTTGACTTTTGAGCCGACTCAGAAGTCAACTTTGTGACATTATTCCGAGTTGACTTTTGAGCCGACTCAAAAGTCAACTTTGTGACATTATTCCGAGTTGACTTTTGAGCCGACTCAAAAGTCAACTTTGTGACATTATTCCGAGTTGACTTTTGAGCCGACTCAAAAGTCAACTTTGTGACATTATTCCGAGTTGACTTTTGAGCCGACTCAGAAGTCAACTTTGTGACATTATTCCGAGTTGACTTTTGAGCCGACTCAGAAGTCAACTTTGTGACATTATTCCGAGTTGACTTTTGAGCCGACTCAAAAGTCAACTTTGTGACATTATTCCGAGTTGACTTTTGAGCCGACTCAAAAGTCAACTTTGTGACATTATTCCGAGTTGACTTTTGAGCCGACTCAAAAGTCAACTTTGTGACATTATTCCGAGTTGACTTTTGAGCCGACTCAGAAGTCAACTTTGTGACATTATTCCGAGTTGACTTTTGAGCCGACTCAGAAGTCAACTTTGTGACATTATTCCGAGTTGACTTTTGAGCCGACTCAAAAGTCAACTTTGTGACATTATTCCGAGTTGACTTTTGAGCCGACTCAAAAGTCAACTTTGTGACATTATTCCGAGTTGACTTTTGAGCCGACTCAAAAGTCAACTTTGTGACATTATTCCGAGTTGACTTTTGAGCCGACTCAGAAGTCAACTTTGTGACATTATTCCGAGTTGACTTTTGAGCCGACTCAGAAGTCAACTTTGTGACATTATTCCGAGTTGACTTTTGAGCCGACTCAGAAGTCAACTTTGTGACATTATTCCGAGTTGACTTTTGAGCCGACTCAGAAGTCAACTTTGTGACATTATTCCGAGTTGACTTTTGAGCCGACTCAGAAGTCAACTTTGTGACATTATTCCGAGTTGACTTTTGAGCCGACTCAGAAGTCAACTTTGTGACATTATTCCGAGTTGACTTTTGAGCCGACTCAGAAGTCAACTTTGTGACATTATTCCGAGTTGACTTTTGAGCCGACTCAGAAGTCAACTTTGTGACATTATTCCGAGTTGACTTTTGAGCCGACTCAGAAGTCAACTTTGTGACATTATTCCGAGTTGACTTTTGAGCCGACTCAGAAGTCAACTTTGTGACATTATTCCGAGTTGACTTTTGAGCCGACTCAGAAGTCAACTTTGTGACATTATTCCGAGTTGACTTTTGAGCCGACTCAGAAGTCAACTTTGTGACATTATTCCGAGTTGACTTTTGAGCCGACTCAGAAGTCAACTTTGTGACATTATTCCGAGTTGACTTTTGAGCCGACTCAGAAGTCAACTTTGTGACATTATTCCGAGTTGACTTTTGAGCCGACTCAGAAGTCAACTTTGTGACATTATTCCGAGTTGACTTTTGAGCCGACTCAAAAGTCAACTTTGTGACATTATTCCGAGTTGACATTATTCCGAGTTGACATTATTCCGAGTTGACATTATTCCGAGTTGACATTATTCCGAGTTGACATTATTCCGAGTTGACATTATTCCGAGTTGACATTATTCCGAGTTGACATTATTCCGAGTTGACATTATTCCGAGTTGACATTATTCCGAGTTGACATTATTCCGAGTTGACATTATTCCGAGTTGACATTATTCCGAGTTGACATTATTCCGAGTTGACATTATTCCGAGTTGACATTATTCCGAGTTGACATTATTCCGAGTTGACATTATTCCGAGTTGACATTATTCCGAGTTGACATTATTCCGAGTTGACATTATTCCGAGTTGACATTATTCCGAGTTGACATTATTCCGAGTTGACATTATTCCGAGTTGACATTATTCCGAGTTGACATTATTCCGAGTTGACATTATTCCGAGTTGACATTATTCCGAGTTGACATTATTCCGAGTTGACATTATTCCGAGTTGACATTATTCCGAGTTGACATTATTCCGAGTTGACATTATTCCGAGTTGACATTATTCCGAGTTGACATTATTCCGAGTTGACATTATTCCGAGTTGACATTATTCCGAGTTGACATTATTCCGAGTTGACATTATTCCGAGTTGACATTATTCCGAGTTGACATTATTCCGAGTTGACATTATTCCGAGTTGACATTATTCCGAGTTGACATTATTCCGAGTTGACATTATTCCGAGTTGACATTATTCCGAGTTGACATTATTCCGAGTTGACATTATTCCGAGTTGACATTATTCCGAGTTGACATTATTCCGAGTTGACATTATTCCGAGTTGACATTATTCCGAGTTGACATTATTCCGAGTTGACATTATTCCGAGTTGACATTATTCCGAGTTGACATTATTCCGAGTTGACATTATTCCGAGTTGACATTATTCCGAGTTGACATTATTCCGAGTTGACATTATTCCGAGTTGACATTATTCCGAGTTGACATTATTCCGAGTTGACATTATTCCGAGTTGACATTATTCCGAGTTGACATTATTCCGAGTTGACATTATTCCGAGTTGACATTATTCCGAGTTGACATTATTCCGAGTTGACATTATACCGAGTTGACTTTTGAGTCGGCTCAAAAGTCAACTTTGCTTCTCGGGCGCCGCCTACCCTTCAGCGCTCGCGCCGCTCCGCTCTGCTGCGTCGGCTCCTCTCTATCAACACACCTGGCCTTCTCGAGAGGCAGGCACAGAGACGCCATGCCTGTGCTCGAGAAGGCCACAGAGACACCATGCCTGTGCTCGAGAAGGCCACAGAGACACCATGCCTGTGCTCGAGAAGGCCACAGAGACACCATGCCTGTGCTCGAGAAGGCCACAGAGGCACCATGCCTGTGCTCGAGAAGGCCACAGAGACACCATGCCTGTGCTCGAGAAGGCCACAGAGACACCATGCCTGTGCTCGAGAAGGCCACAGAGACACCATGCCTGTGCTCGAGAAGGCCACAGAGGCACCATGCCTGTGCTCGAGAAGGCCACAGAGGCACCATGCCTGTGCTCGAGAAGGCCACAGAGACACCATGCCTGTGCTCGAGAAGGCCACAGAGACACCATGCCTGTGCTCGAGAAGGCCACAGAGACACCATGCCTGTGCTCGAGAAGGCCACAGAGACACCATGCCTGTGCTCGAGAAGGCCACAGAGACACCATGCCTGTGCTCGAGAAGGCCACAGAGACACCATGCCTGTGCTCGAGAAGGCCACAGAGACACCATGCCTGTGCTCGAGAAGGCCACAGAGACACCATGCCTGTGCTCGAGAAGGCCACAGAGACACCATGCCTGTGCTCGAGAAGGCCACAGAGACACCATGCCTGTGCTCGAGAAGGCCACAGAGACACCATGCCTGTGCTCGAGAAGGCCACAGAGACACCATGCCTGTGCTCGAGAAGGCCACAGAGGCACCATGCCTGTGCTCGAGAAGGCCACAGAGACACCATGCCTGTGCTCGAGAAGGCCACAGAGACACCATGCCTGTGCTCGAGAAGGCCACAGAGACACCATGCCTGTGCTCGAGAAGGCCACAGAGACACCATGCCTGTGCTCGAGAAGGCCACAGAGACACCATGCCTGTGCTCGAGAAGGCCACAGAGACACCATGCCTGTGCTCGAGAAGGCCACAGAGACACCATGCCTGTGCTCGAGAAGGCCACAGAGACACCATGCCTGTGCTCGAGAAGGCCACAGAGACACCATGCCTGTGCTCGAGAAGGCCACAGAGACACCATGCCTGTGCTCGAGAAGGCCACAGAGACACCATGCCTGTGCTCGAGAAGGCCACAGAGACACCATGCCTGTGCTCGAGAAGGCCACAGAGACACCATGCCTGTGCTCGAGAAGGCCACAGAGACACCATGCCTGTGCTCGAGAAGGCCACAGAGACACCATGCCTGTGCTCGAGAAGGCCACAGAGACACCATGCCTGTGCTCGAGAAGGCCACAGAGACACCATGCCTGTGCTCGAGAAGGCCACAGAGGCACCATGCCTGTGCTCGAGAAGGCCACAGAGACACCATGCCTGTGCTCGAGAAGGCCACAGAGACACCATGCCTGTGCTCGAGAAGGCCACAGAGACACCATGCCTGTGCTCGAGAAGGCCACAGAGACACCATGCCTGTGCTCGAGAAGGCCACAGAGGCACCATGCCTGTGCTCGAGAAGGCCACAGAGGCACCATGCCTGTGCTCGAGAAGGCCACAGAGACACCATGCCTGTGCTCGAGAAGGCCACAGAGACACCATGCCTGTGCTCGAGAAGGCCACAGAGACACCATGCCTGTGCTCGAGAAGGCCACAGAGACACCATGCCTGTGCTCGAGAAGGCCACAGAGACACCATGCCTGTGCTCGAGAAGGCCACAGAGACACCATGCCTGTGCTCGAGAAGGCCACAGAGACACCATGCCTGTGCTCGAGAAGGCCACAGAGACACCATGCCTGTGCTCGAGAAGGCCACAGAGACACCATGCCTGTGCTCGAGAAGGCCACAGAGACACCATGCCTGTGCTCGAGAAGGCCACAGAGACACCATGCCTGTGCTCGAGAAGGCCACAGAGACACCATGCCTGTGCTCGAGAAGGCCACAGAGACACCATGCCTGTGCTCGAGAAGGCCACAGAGACACCATGCCTGTGCTCGAGAAGGCCACAGAGACACCATGCCTGTGCTCGAGAAGGCCACAGAGACACCATGCCTGTGCTCGAGAAGGCCACAGAGACACCATGCCTGTGCTCGAGAAGGCCACAGAGACACCATGCCTGTGCTCGAGAAGGCCACAGAGACACCATGCCTGTGCTCGAGAAGGCCACAGAGACACCATGCCTGTGCTCGAGAAGGCCACAGAGACACCATGCCTGTGCTCGAGAAGGCCACAGAGACACCATGCCTGTGCTCGAGAAGGCCACAGAGACACCATGCCTGTGCTCGAGAAGGCCACAGAGACACCATGCCTGTGCTCGAGAAGGCCACAGAGACACCATGCCTGTGCTCGAGAAGGCCACAGAGACACCATGCCTGTGCTCGAGAAGGCCACAGAGACACCATGCCTGTGCTCGAGAAGGCCACAGAGACACCATGCCTGTGCTCGAGAAGGCCACAGAGACACCATGCCTGTGCTCGAGAAGGCCACAGAGACACCATGCCTGTGCTCGAGAAGGCCACAGAGACACCATGCCTGTGCTCGAGAAGGCCACAGAGACACCATGCCTGTGCTCGAGAAGGCCACAGAGACACCATGCCTGTGCTCGAGAAGGCCACAGAGACACCATGCCTGTGCTCGAGAAGGCCACAGAGACACCATGCCTGTGCTCGAGAAGGCCACAGAGACACCATGCCTGTGCTCGAGAAGGCCACAGAGACACCATGCCTGTGCTCGAGAAGGCCACAGAGACACCATGCCTGTGCTCGAGAAGGCCACAGAGACACCATGCCTGTGCTCGAGAAGGCCACAGAGACACCATGCCTGTGCTCGAGAAGGCCACAGAGGCACCATGCCTGTGCTCGAGAAGGCCACAGAGGCACCATGCCTGTGCTCGAGAAGGCCACAGAGGCACCATGCCTGTGCTCGAGAAGGCCACAGAGACACCATGCCTGTGCTCGAGAAGGCCACAGAGACACCATGCCTGTGCTCGAGAAGGCCACAGAGCACCATGCCTGTGCTCGAGAAGGCCACAGAGGCACCATGCCTGTGCTCGAGAAGGCCACAGAGACACCATGCCTGTGCTCGAGAAGGCCACAGAGACACCATGCCTGTGCTCGAGAAGGCCACAGAGGCACCATGCCTGTGCTCGAGAAGGCCACAGAGGCACCATGCCTGTGCTCGAGAAGGCCACAGAGGCACCATGCCTGTGCTCGAGAAGGCCACAGAGGACACCATGCCTGTGCTCGAGAAGGCCACAGAGACACCATGCCTGTGCTCGAGAAGGCCACAGAGGCACCATGCCTGTGCTCGAGAAGGCCACAGAGGCACCATGCCTGTGCTCGAGAAGGCCACAGAGGCACCATGCCTGTGCTCGAGAAGGCCACAGAGACACCATGCCTGTGCTCGAGAAGGCCACAGAGACACCATGCCTGTGCTCGAGAAGGCCACAGAGACACCATGCCTGTGCTCGAGAAGGCCACAGAGACACCATGCCTGTGCTCGAGAAGGCCACAGAGGCACCATGCCTGTGCTCGAGAAGGCCACAGAGACACCATGCCTGTGCTCGAGAAGGCCACAGAGACACCATGCCTGTGCTCGAGAAGGCCACAGAGACACCATGCCTGTGCTCGAGAAGGCCACAGAGCACCATGCCTGTGCTCGAGAAGGCCACAGAGGCACCATGCCTGTGCTCGAGAAGGCCACAGAGACACCATGCCTGTGCTCGAGAAGGCCACAGAGACACCATGCCTGTGCTCGAGAAGGCCACAGAGACACCATGCCTGTGCTCGAGAAGGCCACAGAGACACCATGCCTGTGCTCGAGAAGGCCACAGAGACACCATGCCTGTGCTCGAGAAGGCCACAGAGACACCATGCCTGTGCTCGAGAAGGCCACAGAGACACCATGCCTGTGCTCGAGAAGGCCACAGAGACACCATGCCTGTGCTCGAGAAGGCCACAGAGACACCATGCCTGTGCTCGAGAAGGCCACAGAGACACCATGCCTGTGCTCGAGAAGGCCACAGAGACACCATGCCTGTGCTCGAGAAGGCCACAGAGGCACCATGCCTGTGCTCGAGAAGGCCACAGAGACACCATGCCTGTGCTCGAGAAGGCCACAGAGACACCATGCCTGTGCTCGAGAAGGCCACAGAGACACCATGCCTGTGCTCGAGAAGGCCACAGAGACACCATGCCTGTGCTCGAGAAGGCCACAGAGACACCATGCCTGTGCTCGAGAAGGCCACAGAGACACCATGCCTGTGCTCGAGAAGGCCACAGAGACACCATGCCTGTGCTCGAGAAGGCCACAGAGGCACCATGCCTGTGCTCGAGAAGGCCACAGAGACACCATGCCTGTGCTCGAGAAGGCCACAGAGACACCATGCCTGTGCTCGAGAAGGCCACAGAGACACCATGCCTGTGCTCGAGAAGGCCACAGAGACACCATGCCTGTGCTCGAGAAGGCCACAGAGACACCATGCCTGTGCTCGAGAAGGCCACAGAGACACCATGCCTGTGCTCGAGAAGGCCACAGAGACACCATGCCTGTGCTCGAGAAGGCCACAGAGACACCATGCCTGTGCTCGAGAAGGCCACAGAGACACCATGCCTGTGCTCGAGAAGGCCACAGAGACACCATGCCTGTGCTCGAGAAGGCCACAGAGACACCATGCCTGTGCTCGAGAAGGCCACAGAGGCACCATGCCTGTGCTCGAGAAGGCCACAGAGGCACCATGCCTGTGCTCGAGAAGGCCACAGAGGCACCATGCCTGTGCTCGAGAAGGCCACAGAGGCACCATGCCTGTGCTCGAGAAGGCCACAGAGACACCATGCCTGTGCTCGAGAAGGCCACAGAGACACCATGCCTGTGCTCGAGAAGGCCACAGAGGCACCATGCCTGTGCTCGAGAAGGCCACAGAGACACCATGCCTGTGCTCGAGAAGGCCACAGAGGCACCATGCCTGTGCTCGAGAAGGCCACAGAGGCACCATGCCTGTGCTCGAGAAGGCCACAGAGACACCATGCCTGTGCTCGAGAAGGCCACAGAGACACCATGCCTGTGCTCGAGAAGGCCACAGAGGCACCATGCCTGTGCTCGAGAAGGCCACAGAGGCACCATGCCTGTGCTCGAGAAGGCCACAGAGGCACCATGCCTGTGCTCGAGAAGGCCACAGAGACACCATGCCTGTGCTCGAGAAGGCCACAGAGACACCATGCCTGTGCTCGAGAAGGCCACAGAGACACCATGCCTGTGCTCGAGAAGGCCACAGAGGCACCATGCCTGTGCTCGAGAAGGCCACAGAGGCACCATGCCTGTGCTCGAGAAGGCCACAGAGACACCATGCCTGTGCTCGAGAAGGCCACAGAGACACCATGCCTGTGCTCGAGAAGGCCACAGAGACACCATGCCTGTGCTCGAGAAGGCCACAGAGGCACCATGCCTGTGCTCGAGAAGGCCACAGAGGCACCATGCCTGTGCTCGAGAAGGCCACAGAGACACCATGCCTGTGCTCGAGAAGGCCACAGAGACACCATGCCTGTGCTCGAGAAGGCCACAGAGACACCATGCCTGTGCTCGAGAAGGCCACAGAGACACCATGCCTGTGCTCGAGAAGGCCACAGAGACACCATGCCTGTGCTCGAGAAGGCCACAGAGACACCATGCCTGTGCTCGAGAAGGCCACAGAGACACCATGCCTGTGCTCGAGAAGGCCACAGAGACACCATGCCTGTGCTCGAGAAGGCCACAGAGACACCATGCCTGTGCTCGAGAAGGCCACAGAGACACCATGCCTGTGCTCGAGAAGGCCACAGAGGCACCATGCCTGTGCTCGAGAAGGCCACAGAGGCACCATGCCTGTGCTCGAGAAGGCCACAGAGACACCATGCCTGTGCTCGAGAAGGCCACAGAGACACCATGCCTGTGCTCGAGAAGGCCACAGAGACACCATGCCTGTGCTCGAGAAGGCCACAGAGACACCATGCCTGTGCTCGAGAAGGCCACAGAGACACCATGCCTGTGCTCGAGAAGGCCACAGAGACACCATGCCTGTGCTCGAGAAGGCCACAGAGGCACCATGCCTGTGCTCGAGAAGGCCACAGAGGCACCATGCCTGTGCTCGAGAAGGCCACAGAGACACCATGCCTGTGCTCGAGAAGGCCACAGAGACACCATGCCTGTGCTCGAGAAGGCCACAGAGACACCATGCCTGTGCTCGAGAAGGCCACAGAGACACCATGCCTGTGCTCGAGAAGGCCACAGAGACACCATGCCTGTGCTCGAGAAGGCCACAGAGACACCATGCCTGTGCTCGAGAAGGCCACAGAGACACCATGCCTGTGCTCGAGAAGGCCACAGAGACACCATGCCTGTGCTCGAGAAGGCCACAGAGGCACCATGCCTGTGCTCGAGAAGGCCACAGAGGCACCATGCCTGTGCTCGAGAAGGCCACAGAGGCACCATGCCTGTGCTCGAGAAGGCCACAGAGGCACCATGCCTGTGCTCGAGAAGGCCACAGAGACACCATGCCTGTGCTCGAGAAGGCCACAGAGACACCATGCCTGTGCTCGAGAAGGCCACAGAGACACCATGCCTGTGCTCGAGAAGGCCACAGAGGCACCATGCCTGTGCTCGAGAAGGCCACAGAGACACCATGCCTGTGCTCGAGAAGGCCACAGAGGCACCATGCCTGTGCTCGAGAAGGCCACAGAGACACTATGCCTGTGCTCGAGAAGGCCACAGAGGCACCATGCCTGTGCTCGAGAAGGCCACAGAGGCACCATGCCTGTGCTCGAGAAGGCCACAGAGGCACCATGCCTGTGCTCGAGAAGGCCACAGAGGCACCATGCCTGTGCTCGAGAAGGCCACAGAGGCACCATGCCTGTGCTCGAGAAGGCCACAGAGGCACCATGCCTGTGCTCGAGAAGGCCACAGAGGCACCATGCCTGTCCTCGAGAAGGCCACAGAGACACCATGCCTGTGCTCGAGAAGGCCACAGAGGCACCATGCCTGTGCTCGAGAAGGCCACAGAGACACCATGCCTGTGCTCGAGAAGGCCACAGAGACACCATGCCTGTGCTCGAGAAGGCCACAGAGGCACCATGCCTGTGCTCGAGAAGGCCACAGAGACACCATGCCTGTGCTCGAGAAGGCCACAGAGACACCATGCCTGTGCTCGAGAAGGCCACAGAGACACCATGCCTGTGCTCGAGAAGGCCACAGAGGCACCATGCCTGTGCTCGAGAAGGCCACAGAGACACCATTCCTGTGCTCGAGAAGGCCACAGAGACACCATGCCTGTGCTCGAGAAGGCCACAGAGACACCATGCCTGTGCTCGAGAAGGCCACAGAGGCACCATGCCTGTGCTCGAGAAGGCCACAGAGACACCATGCCTGTGCTCGAGAAGGCCACAGAGACACCATGCCTGTGCTCGAGAAGGCCACAGAGACACCATGCCTGTGCTCGAGAAGGCCACAGAGACACCATGCCTGTGCTCGAGAAGGCCACAGAGACACCATGCCTGTGCTCGAGAAGGCCACAGAGACACCATGCCTGTGCTCGAGAAGGCCACAGAGACACCATGCCTGTGCTCGAGAAGGCCACAGAGACACCATGCCTGTGCTCGAGAAGGCCACAGAGGCACCATGCCTGTGCTCGAGAAGGCCACAGAGGCACCATGCCTGTGCTCGAGAAGGCCACAGAGGCACCATGCCTGTGCTCGAGAAGGCCACAGAGACACCATGCCTGTGCTCGAGAAGGCCACAGAGACACCATGCCTGTGCTCGAGAAGGCCACAGAGACACCATGCCTGTGCTCGAGAAGGCCACATAGACACCATGCCTGTGCTCGAGAAGGCCACAGAGACACCATGCCTGTGCTCGAGAAGGCCACAGAGACACCATGCCTGTGCTCGAGAAGGCCACAGAGACACCATGCCTGTGCTCGAGAAGGCCACAGAGACACCATGCCTGTGCTCGAGAAGGCCACAGAGACACCATGCCTGTGCTCGAGAAGGCCACAGAGGCACCATGCCTGTGCTCGAGAAGGCCACAGAGGCACCATGCCTGTGCTCGAGAAGGCCACAGAGGCACCATGCCTGTGCTCCAGAAGGCCACAGAGACACCATGCCTGTGCTCGAGAAGGCCACAGAGACACCATGCCTGTGCTCGAGAAGGCCACAGAGACACCATGCCTGTGCTCGAGAAGGCCACAGAGGCACCATGCCTGTGCTCGAGAAGGCCACAGAGACACCATGCCTGTGCTCGAGAAGGCCACAGAGACACCATGCCTGTGCTCGAGAAGGCCACAGAGACACCATGCCTGTGCTCGAGAAGGCCACAGAGACACCATGCCTGTGCTCGAGAAGGCCACAGAGACACCATGCCTGTGCTCGAGAAGGCCACAGAGGCACCATGCCTGTGCTCGAGAAGGCCACAGAGACACCATGCCTGTGCTCGAGAAGGCCACAGAGACACCATGCCTGTGCTCGAGAAGGCCACAGAGGCACCATGCCTGTGCTCGAGAAGGCCACAGAGGCACCATGCCTGTGCTCGAGAAGGCCACAGAGGCACCATGCCTGTGCTCGAGAAGGCCACAGAGGCACCATGCCTGTCCTCGAGAAGGCCACAGAGACACCATGCCTGTGCTCGAGAAGGCCACAGAGACACCATGCCTGTGCTCGAGAAGGCCACAGAGACACCATGCCTGTGCTCGAGAAGGCCACAGAGACACCATGCCTGTGCTCGAGAAGGCCACAGAGACACCATGCCTGTGCTCGAGAAGGCCACAGAGACACCATGCCTGTGCTCGAGAAGGCCACAGAGACACCATGCCTGTGCTCGAGAAGGCCACAGAGGCACCATGCCTGTGCTCGAGAAGGCCACAGAGACACCATGCCTGTGCTCGAGAAGGCCACAGAGACACCATGCCTGTGCTCGAGAAGGCCACAGAGGCACCATGCCTGTGCTCGAGAAGGCCACAGAGACACCATGCCTGTGCTCGAGAAGGCCACAGAGACACCATGCCTGTGCTCGAGAAGGCCACAGAGACACCATGCCTGTGCTCGAGAAGGCCACAGAGGCACCATGCCTGTGCTCGAGAAGGCCACAGAGACACCATTCCTGTGCTCGAGAAGGCCACAGAGACACCATGCCTGTGCTCGAGAAGGCCACAGAGACACCATGCCTGTGCTCGAGAAGGCCACAGAGGCACCATGCCTGTGCTCGAGAAGGCCACAGAGACACCATGCCTGTGCTCGAGAAGGCCACAGAGACACCATGCCTGTGCTCGAGAAGGCCACAGAGACACCATGCCTGTGCTCGAGAAGGCCACAGAGACACCATGCCTGTGCTCGAGAAGGCCACAGAGACACCATGCCTGTGCTCGAGAAGGCCACAGAGACACCATGCCTGTGCTCGAGAAGGCCACAGAGACACCATGCCTGTGCTCGAGAAGGCCACAGAGGCACCATGCCTGTGCTCGAGAAGGCCACAGAGACACCATGCCTGTGCTCGAGAAGGCCACAGAGACACCATGCCTGTGCTCGAGAAGGCCACAGAGGCACCATGCCTGTGCTCGAGAAGGCCACAGAGACACCATGCCTGTGCTCGAGAAGGCCACAGAGACACCATGCCTGTGCTCGAGAAGGCCACAGAGACACCATGCCTGTGCTCGAGAAGGCCACAGAGGCACCATGCCTGTGCTCGAGAAGGCCACAGAGACACCATGCCTGTGCTCGAGAAGGCCACAGAGACACCATGCCTGTGCTCGAGAAGGCCACAGAGACACCATGCCTGTGCTCGAGAAGGCCACAGAGGCACCATGCCTGTGCTCGAGAAGGCCACAGAGACACCATGCCTGTGCTCGAGAAGGCCACAGAGACACCATGCCTGTGCTCGAGAAGGCCACAGAGACACCATGCCTGTGCTCGAGAAGGCCACAGAGACACCATGCCTGTGCTCGAGAAGGCCACAGAGACACCATGCCTGTGCTCGAGAAGGCCACAGAGACACCATGCCTGTGCTCGAGAAGGCCACAGAGACACCATGCCTGTGCTCGAGAAGGCCACAGAGACACCATGCCTGTGCTCGAGAAGGCCACAGAGACACCATGCCTGTGCTCGAGAAGGCCACAGAGACACCATGCCTGTGCTCGAGAAGGCCACAGAGGCACCATGCCTGTGCTCGAGAAGGCCACAGAGACACCATGCCTGTGCTCGAGAAGGCCACAGAGACACCATGCCTGTGCTCGAGAAGGCCACAGAGACACCATGTCTGTGCTCGAGAAGGCCACAGAGACACCATGCCTGTGCTCGAGAAGGCCACAGAGACACCATGCCTGTGCTCGAGAAGGCCACAGAGACACCATGCCTGTGCTCGAGAAGGCCACAGAGACACCATGCCTGTGCTCGAGAAGGCCACAGAGACACCATGCCTGTGCTCGAGAAGGCCACAGAGACACCATGCCTGTGCTCGAGAAGGCCACAGAGGCACCATGCCTGTGCTCGAGAAGGCCACAGAGGCACCATGCCTGTACTCGAGAAGGCCACAGAGACACCATGCCTGTGCTCGAGAAGGCCACAGAGACACCATGCCTGTGCTCGAGAAGGCCACAGAGACACCATGCCTGTGCTCGAGAAGGCCACAGAGGCACCATGCCTGTGCTCGAGAAGGCCACAGAGACACCATGCCTGTGCTCGAGAAGGCCACAGAGACACCATGCCTGTGCTCGAGAAGGCCACAGAGACACCATGCCTGTGCTCGAGAAGGCCACAGAGACACCATGCCTGTGCTCGAGAAGGCCACAGAGACACCATGCCTGTGCTCGAGAAGGCCACAGAGACACCATGCCTGTGCTCGAGAAGGCCACAGAGACACCATGCCTGTGCTCGAGAAGGCCACAGAGGCACCATGCCTGTGCTCGAGAAGGCCACAGAGACACCATGCCTGTGCTCGAGAAGGCTACAGAGACACCATGCCTGTGCTCGAGAAGGCCACAGAGACACCATGCCTGTGCTCGAGAAGGCCACAGAGACACCATGCCTGTGCTCGAGAAGGCCACAGAGACACCATGCCTGTGCTCGAGAAGGCCACAGAGACACCATGCCTGTGCTCGAGAAGGCCACAGAGGCACCATGCCTGTGCTCGAGAAGGCCACGGAGGCATACGATGCTCGTGCTGCCCTTCATTGGAGGCAGTTCCCTTGTGTCACTGCGCTCGTGCTGTCCTTCGCTAAATGATCATCTCTGTGATCTCCCGTCCCTCTCTCTCTCTCCCGCCCTTTGCTGTCATATCCAGCAGTCCCCATTCGATGTGTCAGCAGCAGCCACCGCACTCGCCCTCGCAGCCTCCCTCTGCTGGCTCGGCTCGACTCTAGCAAGAAAAATGGCCTTCGTTGGAGGCACCATCCCCTGTGTCACAGCGCTCTTGCTGGCCTTCGCTACAATCACACCCCACCTCGCCGCTCCTCTGGTGGTTCCAGGGGAGAAAATGGCTGCTCTCATGCTGCAGGTGAGACCAATTCAATCATCTCTTGTTAGAGTCACAACTTCCGTCGCTTCTGCTGGCCTTCGCTACAGTCACACCCGATTTTGCTGGCCGGCTGGTTACTCCCCCTCCCCCTAACCCACTCTACCCCTTTTTCCAGGTCTTCTTCGCTTCTATCGGAGCCAACAGCAATCTCTCATCCATCCTCTCATCAGCGCCCTCCCTCTTCCTCTTCGTCCTCTGCCTCCCTGTGCTCCCTGCCCCTCCCTCTGCCTTCAACCCCCGTTGCCTTCAACCCCCGTTGCCTTCAACCCCCGTTGCCTTCAACCCCCGTTGCCTTCAACCCCCGTTGCCTTCAACCCCCGTTGCCTTCAACCCCCGTTCCCCCATCCCATCAGGTCTTCTTTGCTTCTATCGGAGCCAACGGCAATCTATCCGCCATCCTTTCATCAGCTCCCTCCCTCTTCCTCTTCATCCTCCTCCAACTATCCCTCCACCTCCTCTTCACCCTCTCCCTCGGCCGCCTCCTCTCCCTCCCTCTAAAGCACCTCCTCATTGCCTCTAACGCCAATGTGGGAGGCCCAACCACAGCAGCCGGCATGGCTGCTGCTAAAGGCTGGCGCTCCCTGACAGTCCCGGCTATACTGGTGGGGATATTCGGCTATGCAACCGCTACTTTCCTCTCGGTGGCCCTTGGCCATGCAGTCTTAAAGCCCATGCACTTGAGAGCAGTGCTTTCCTAGTGCCTCCAACGTGGGAGGCCCAACCACAGCAGCAGGCATGGCTGCTGCTAAAGGCTGGCGCTCCCTTACAGTTCCGGCTATCTTGGTTGGGATTTTCGGGTATGCTACAGCTACGTTCCTGTCAGTAGCGCTAGGCCACACTGTGCTAAAGGGTGGCGCTCCCTTACAGTCCCGGCTATACTGGTGGGGATACAGCTACATTTCTGTCAGTAGCGCTAGGCCATACCGTGTTGAAGCCCATGCATCTGCAAGCTGGTGTTTTCTAGAGACTGCCGCTGCTGCCAAAGGCTGGCGCTCCCTGACCGTTCCTGCCATCTTGGTGGGGATATTCGGCTATGCCACTATCACGCTCCTGTCAGTAGCGCTAGACATACCATCTTAAAGCCCATGCACTTAAAAGCATGTGGTATATAGGGGCAGGTGGTGGTATATGGAGGAGGCTGCTGCCCAAAGGCTGGCGCTCCCCTCCCTGTAGTTCCAGTTATACTGTCGGGGATTTTCGGGTACTCCACTGCCACTTTCCTGTCAGTGACCCCCAGCCACACCGTCTTAAAGCCCATGCACTTGAGAGCAAGTGTTTTGAAGAGGCAGCTTGCTGCTGCCAGGGGCTGGCTATGCTGTGACGCATACTGTACCGTAAAAACCATTAGAGTCTTGTCTTGGATCAGGGCAGCACTATCGAGTATGATTTGACTTACCTTGCCATCTGATCCGAACTACAGAGAAACATTCATTTGCCATATCTTCAATCATTGTTAATATTTCACTTGTTGAGGGTTTGCATTAAAATTTCAGGGTTGGCCCAGTCAGCAACTGCATGAGTGTACCTGTTCTGTATCTAGGGTTTCTGGTGGGGAACATACGATAGTGACAGCCTTACAGAGCAAAGAGCAGCGCGGCTATGATAGCAACAGCTAGGAAGACGTACTTGAAGCAAGCAACGAGGATGACTATAGTGGAGACTAGGACCTGCCAGGAGAGGTATAGCAGAGCACAGGCAAACACCCCTGCTAGAATCACAGCCAGTGCGTTCTCTGTTGAAGGCGCAAGCCAATCAGAATCCACACCACCACCGATACCTTCCCCCCCCCTTCCTCTTCTCCCCCCTCCTCCTCCTCTTCCTCCTCCTCCTCCCCCCCATCCACCTCCTCCTCCACTTCCTCCTCCCCAACCACCTCCTCTTTCGTCTCTTCTATCCCCGTTGCCACCTCTGCGGAATCTAGGGATCCAGGACCAATCAAATCTGTTTCTGCTGCTGCTGCCACTGCTGCTGTTGTTGCTGCTACTTCTGTTGTTATTCCATCTGTTACTGTTGTTCCATCTGTTACCGCTACTGTTACTGTAGTCAGACGCACTGTAGCTTCCCCCGTAATAGTCCTCTTCCTCCTCCAGGACTATCCCCGACCATCGCTCCGCATCAGGTTCCCGAATTGCACGGCAGACACTTGTAGCGAGCCGTCTTCTAACGGGGATGCTATTGCGTTGGCGTTGGCGCGGGTCGTGCGGTGGGAGGAGGAAGCGACCAGCAGAAAATTCCCGTAGCGACGAGCTACACTCCAATGGCAGCCGCAGCTGCATGGCTATGCTACCACTAACGGGGATGCTATTGCGTTGGCGCGGGTCGTGTGGTGGGAGAAGGGAGGGAGGGAAACGGCGAGCAGAAAGTTCCCCGAGCGACGAGCTGTGCGCCGGCGGCAGCCGCAGCAGCATGACTTTCTACAGTTATACCAAACTAGGTTTTTAGTGCTTAGAGACGGATACACATCACTCGTAAATGAGTATGGTACACTTCACAACTGCATGAATCTGCAGGTTGGACGTAAAGCGATCGTACCCGCTTCGACGGCTTGCTACGATCACGGTTACCCCAGACCGGGCAAATCGTTCAATCCTCGTTGAATTGACAAGAATTAGGAGCTAAATCGACGAGCAGGTCTCTAATGCCTCAAGCGTGTCGACTAATATTGTACGATCTAGGGCAATTCCCCAACAATCAGGCTCGAAAAAGAAAGGAGTAACTCCAACTTAGATGTACAAATCCTTCGAGTATTGCGAAGGATATTACTGGCTTCGAGCGGAATCACAAATGTCGGGAATCGTGTAACCCTTCGAGAACTCCAGCCATCCGCTTCCAGACCAGTAAACGTATCATAGCCCCGTTTTCAAGTATTTTCACCAGGAAAATAGTGTAGCCATGTGAGGTAAACCCATTCAAGCAATCTAAATGGAGCTAAAACGCTTAATCACATTCATTATTGGATCATGAGCCGTAACAACAGGATCACAAAGCAGACAAGCAGCAGTTTCTCAGGCCTACACTTGTTCTGTTAGCAGCTCAACTGCAAGTGAAAGATCACCGTTTGTTGCATTCAACGCTTCTTGAGCAATTGACTGCATAAAAGACAAGAACAGGCACCGGCGGGACACGCCTTAGCATGACACAAATCAGTAACACAGAAAATTGAAATTAAACGTATAAGACTCGTGAAATGTACCACACATACCCGGTTAAAGCCCATATCGCACAACTGCCGCACAGCTGCCGCTCTATCACCACCAATGCTCCTTCTGGCATTATCGGCTGCAGTATGTGAGGTGTGGTGGGTGCTACCCAACAGCTGCTCATTCTGCTGGGAATGGCTGGTCTGACTTGGGCCATATCCCCAGCCACTGGAAAGGACTGTTGCCCTGAGAGGAAGGGCCCAGTGAAACGAGAGAGGAAAGAGAGCATTAGTTGATTTCGAAGGCGAATCAAATTTCTCTTTGCTGCTGTTGGCTGGTCTGGCTTGCGAATGTCCCCAGCCACTAGAGAGGAGAGCATAAACTGATTCTTAAGAGGAAAAAGGGTGGGAGGGGAGGAAAGGTGGGAATCAGTGCAAGGAAGACAGCATTAGTTGAATCATAAGACGGTGGAAAAGTCATACTGCTGGGGATGGGGTCGGGCTTGGGGAATATTCAGCAGAATAACTTTCAGCACACCTTCCCGCAGCCGCAGCCGCAGCCGCAGCCGCAGCCGCAGCCGCAGCAGCAGCAGCAGAAGCACTGGCAGAGGCAGCAGCAGCGTTGGGCAGCGGGTAATTTGGAGCATCTTGAAACACTAACACCGACACTGCCACAGTTCCCTCCCCTGCTCCACTCGCTGCAGTGCCGCCAGTAACCACACCACACGCCCCCATAGCATGCCTATGCCCGCAGTTACCACATCACCCACAGTTCCCTTTGCTGCTCTCACGCTGCAGTGCCCCCAGTAACCACACCACACCCCCCCCCACACCACAGCATGCGGCATGCCTATGCCCGCAGTTACCACATCCCCCTTGACCACACACCTTCCCATGGCAGCAGCGGCAGCAGCAGCACTGGCGGAAGCAGCAGCGGCGTTGGGCAAAGAGTTATTCGGAGCATCGGGAGACGCTATCACCGACACACTCACAGTTCCCTTACGGCCACATCCCCCTCATGCCCACGCACCTTCCCAGAGCAGCAGCGGCGGCAGCAGCACTGGCGGAAGCAGCAGCAGCGTTGGGCAGCGGGTAATTGGGAGCATCTTGAGACGCTATCACCGACACTGCTACTGTTCCCTCGCCTGATCTCGTCGCTCCTGCTGCTCCTGCAGTGGCTAAAGATGGTGCCTCTGCTGCTGATGAGCCTGCTAGGGTCCGCCCCCGGCCAGGGAACCTCTGCAAGCAAGCAGAAGCACAGTTCAAAGCAAAGCAGGGAATGGAACAGTTCAAAGCAGCCCTACTTTGCTTTCCCGCTGCTGCTGCTGCTAAAGTCACCTTCGCTGAGGAGGAGCAACAATAACGGAGGTCATAGAACAAACAAGACGAAAGAGTAACTCACAGAATCAGCTGCCATAACTCACAGGATCGGCTGCAGTTCCTGCTGGTTGAGGAACCTGCCCCCACCCAAGTGACTGTGACTGTGACTGTATTGAAGGGTGTGAATTATAATTAGCAGCAGCCACTGCTGAAAGCGAGTGCACGTTTGACAGAGGCCCCTGCCTGTGCATGCTTGATCCCTGGTCATATCTCCCCTGTTGCTGCTGCTGCTGCTGCTGCTGTTGTTGCTGCTGGATTAGCCTTTGCTGCTCCTGCTGCTGTTGCACTGCTGCAGCCACTGACCGCCACCTGTCCTGCACACGAGCCAGGGAGGTCTGCATGGACCGCCACGTGGCGTGAAGCGATTGGCTGATGCTTGCTGGCCTGAGGGCGTGTGAAGGTTGTGAGATGGGAGGAAGGGGGAGAGGACCGGAGGGAGGGGTAAATAACATAGCATTCAACCAAGGATTTCTAACATCTGATTCATGTTAAGGTGCGCAAATAGTGCTTACAAGATGTCAACATCGCACATAGCGTTTGAGACGTCTCAAAAATACACTTAATACACGAGGAAGCATTAAGGTGCGCACATAGGATTCAAGACGCACGCATGTTTGAGCATCCTCCCTCAAACATGCCGCCTCGCCGTGAGCTTGTCTTTCCATGAAACTAGGAAAGGCGACTGTGTTTCAGGCACCTCAGAACTGTTGGGTGAGCCTGCTGCAAGGCTCACCGCAGGGAAGAGGAGAAATCATACCGCAGAGAGGAAAGATCCCCAAGGCTGGTGAGGATAGCAGTGGTGATGGGGTGCCCTCCTGCAATGAACCCTGGCTGACGCACCATGGGAGCCTGATGGGTAGGCGGATGGTGTGTGGTGGGAGGTGGTGTGTGGTGGGAGGTGGTGAGTGGTGGAAGGTGGTGTGTGGTGGAAGGTGGTGTGTGGTGGAAGGTGGTGGGTGGCCCCCTGCTATGAAGCCTGGCCAGTGCACCATGGGAGCCTGATGCAGTGGGTGGTGGGTGGTGGGTAGTTGCAGTGGGTGGTGGGTAGTTGCAGTGGGTGGTGGGTAGTTGCAGTGGGTGGTGGGTAGTTGCTGGTGAATATACATAGCTCAGAGCCAGAACCACTACACAGCAGTGGCCAGCAGTGGCAGGAAGGCGCTCAGTGGGGGCCACTGATGTGGGCTGCTTTGCTTCTCATGCAGGCTTCTCATGGTATTACCCACAGCACTGCACTTGAAGGGTGGGTATGTAGATACTCACCAGGAACCGTGAAGATTCTACTGGGGTGGGCGACTGACCTTGGCTGAGGAGTGTGTGTGAGTGGAGACGGCGCCGTCTCGTGTGGTGGCAAACAAGCGAGTTAATGAAGGGTAGGTAGGTAGATACTCACCAGGAACCGTGATGACTCTAGAGAACTGAATGTGGGTGAGGAGGGTGTGACTATAGCGAGGGCACCACGCACATCTGAGAGGAACGAGGAGGGGAGAGGAGAGGGGAGAGAGGAAGAGTGAGGGACAGCTTTGAGACATGCCAAAACAGGAAGGTTTGTGGCAACAAGGTGATTTTTAAGGCGCCTCGATCTTTGAGGCGATCTTTGAGGCGATCTTTGAGGCGATCTTTGAGGCGATCTTTGAGGCTATCTTTGAGGCTAACTTTGAGGCTATCTTTGAGGCTATCTTTGAGGCGATCTTTGAGGCTATCTTTGAGGCTATCTTTGAGGCTATCTTTGAGGCTATCTTTGAGGCGATCTTTGAGGCGATCTTTGAGGCGATCTTTGAGGCGATCTTTGAGGCGATCTTTGAGGCGATCTTTGAGGCGATCTTTGAGGCGATCTTTGAGGCGATCTTTGAGGCTATCTTTGAGGCGATCTTTGAGGCTATCTTTGAGGCTATCTTTGAGGCGATCTTTGAGGCGATCTTTGAGGCTATCTTTGAGGCTATCTTTGAGGCGATCTTTGAGGCGATCTTTGAGGCTATCTTTGAGGCTATCTTTGAGGCTATCTTTGAGGCTATCTTTGAGGCTATCTTTGAGGCTATCTTTGAGGCTATCTTTGAGGCTATCTTTGAGGCGCCTCAAAAATCACCTCAATGCACGTGGAAGGTGTGTGTCAACAACGACGGTGACGGAGATGACAAGGGAGAATGCCACAAGACGGTGACGGCGATGGAGCCAGTCCATCTTCTCTGTAATTCGTTTTTGAGAAATTTCAACGAGAAAGGGAGACAGAGACAGGGAGCAACGACAAAGACCAAGAGCAGAACTCGAGGTGGAAATGAGGAGAAAGAGGAGGAACTCAGAATAAAGATGCGAGAGGGAGATTTGAGACTCACAAGCCACGCCTCCCAAAACACCCTCTCTTCACGCCTGAACGCACGCCTCTTAAATGACCCAGGCAGAGAGGTGGAGAGGAGGACAGAAAAAGAGAGAGCTGAGAGTGAGGGAAAGATTGGCAAGACGGTAAGATGTCAAGCAACAGGGAGTGGGTAGAAAGGCAGCTCACATGCGAGGCCCGAGAGAACGCCGCTTAGGTGACCCAGCAGAGACGCAGAGGGGAGAAGCAGTTGGAATAGCGCAAGGAGGACCCAGGGGTACCTGTGAAAGAGAGGGAGAGGCGCGATGGGAGCTTAATGAGACCTCAAGGGCTAAAAACCAGGGCTAAAAAAAGGGCTCTGAACAGGTTAAGAATTCTCAAAACCATGTGCGAGATTGTCCATCCAGTCGAAGCAATAAGTCAAAGTCAACCTCGCACTGGACCTTAGTTTAGTAAAACTAAGGTGACTTTTTTTTATCACAAGTCACCTCAAGGCACAAGAAGTTATCAAGGTATGGGATTAAAAGGCGCGAGCTCCTACCATGCTGTTGGCACAGAGAAGAAGCCGAAGATACTGCAGGTTGGATGGAATTTTGAGGCGCCTAAAAAAATCGTAAGGGTCTGAAAGGTGTGAGGATCTGAAAGGTGAGAGGGTGTGAGGGTGTGGGCTCCTACCATGCAGTTGGCACAGAGAAGAAGCCGAAGATACTGCAAGCAGGAATCACAGGGGGGAAACACAAGGAACAGAAGGAAGACACACAGAGGGAGAAGGAAGGAATCAACCACACAGAATTGGTCAAGCAGGATGAGGCGTGAAGAGAATAACTGGCAGAGACCCGACTCGTGAGAGAGTTGGATTTTTTAGAACTCTCAGAAAGCGCACACAAGGCGTGAAGAGAATAACTGGCAGAGAACCGGCTCGTGAGAGATTTGGCGTGCGCTGGGAAGGCCGCATGAGGTGAAACGGAGGGATGTCAAGATGACCTTATGTCGCCTATAAAAGGCGGCCCGGGGAGGCACTGTGGGTGGTGGCTCTGAGGTAGGCGAGCAGCAGCAGCGCATGCAGCAGCCTCAGGGAGCCGAGGTGGCGCTCCAGAGGGACAGGGCAGTCAGGAAGAGCATGCAAGGAGAACCCTACCACACTCCCCTCCTTTGACTCCCCCCTTCAATATGTAAACCCAGGACGATCAGTGCCAAGAGCACTCTTGAGAAGCCGAAGCAATGCAGCACTCTAGGTTGGAGCCTCTAGAGTCTGGCGTAAGGAGAACCCTACCACACTCACCTCCTTTGACTCCCCCCTTCAATATGTAAATCCAGGACGATCAGTGCAAAAAGCACTCCAGAGAAGCCGATGCAGCACTCCCCGCCCCACCAGCCCCACCACCCTAACAGCAGTCCAGGCATGAACGCCAAAACACTGTGGATGATGGAGTTCAGGCAGGCGAGCAGCAGCAGCGCGTGCAGCAGGCAGAGAGAGCCCAGGTGGCGCTCCAGAGGGGAAGCGAGAGGGAGGAGTGTGGAGAGGTTGAGTGTGATGTGGAGGAGTCCCTTGTGGAAGAAGATGGAGGAGAGAGCGCGGTAGACTGGGAAGGGGGAAACGGGAAGAGATGGGGGTGGAGATGGGGGTAAGGAGCAGAGCATGGGGAACAGCGAGAGACATGAGAGAGAGTGCGATTTGGAGGATTGGGGTTTAGGGTTGTCTGACAATATTTCTGCGTACATCTTGACAAATTAGGCATTTGATGGTATCAGTCTTAGACTACTGGTTCATAAAAAGGCACAAGGATGAGCGCAAACAGGAATTTCGAACTCGCGCGTCATGTCGTTTTTCGTCTCTCGCATTGCATCGCCCTCAAATGCTCGCCGTTCCCAACTTTTGTTTCTCCTCTCTTTTCATACTCGTTTTACTCGTGATCTGTCCTCAGGTGTGTTGCAAGAACTGCTTGAAGCCATATGCTCTAATGTTCAACTACGGTTTCTGGCCCACAATAAATAAGAGTCACGATCACTAAATTCTTATCGAGCTTCCGCCGCGCTGACTTTCTGTCTGTCAGATCATGATCGACGAAGCGTGTGCGTGGTGACTAGGTTGTCATGTCTGCTCTCTGTGCATGCTGACCACCTCGAGACATACAGGCCCGTGCGCAATGGCGATCTCTTCAACAGAACTCTCTGGTGCGCGACAACTCCCTTCGCATCAACCGCCGCGCACCAGAGAGTTTTGTTGAAGAGACGTCGTTGCGCACAGGCCGGAATGCTTCGACGAGGTCAGCATGTGCGGAGAGCAGACGCAACAACATGGTCACGACGCACACGCTTCGTCGATCATGATCCGACGGACAGGAAGCCAGCGTGGCGGAAGCTCGATAAGAAACTAGTGACCGAGACTCTTATTTATTGTGGGCTAGAAGCCATAGTGGAACATTAGAGCATATGGCTTTAAGTAGTTATTGCAACACATCTGAGGACGGATCATGAGTAAAACGAGTCTGAAAAGAGAGGAGAAACAAGAGCTGGGAGCGGCGAGCAAGTGAGGGCGATGCGATGCGAGAGACGAGATACGACATGATGCGCGAGTTCGAAAATCCTGCTTGCGCTCGTCCTTGTGCCTTTTTTCGCGCAAATGGGAAATCATAGATGGCAAAAGCTCGAACCAGTACCATCAGGGACGCTATTACAGACATCTCTAGCCAGCTAGCCAGCACTGGTGAATGAGCGTGCCAAGTGACATTTGAGTAGACTCAAAAGCACGAACTGGTAGCATCAGGGACATCTATCAAAGACATCTATAACCCAGCCAGCACTCTAACCCAGCCAGCGCTAGGGAGTGAGTGTACCAAGCCCAACGCACCTTGCCAGTACAGCACAGTTATAAAGGGCGAGAAACAGACCTCCCTGAAGCAAGCTGTAACCAGAGGCACGCCCTCCCACCACTGGTGAGCATCCTAAGCCCTGCTTAGTGCTCACTTTGCCAGTGCAGCAGGGCGAGGGAGGGCGAGAAGCAGACCTCCATGAAGCTGTCATAACCGATTAATAGGCCGACCACTAACACAGCCACACAGATGGCGAACACGGAAGCTGTAACCAGAGGCACGCCCAACCACCACTGGTGGATGTGCGTTCCTATGCTGGCCTGGGAGTGAAGGTTGGGGAAAGGGACAGATGATAGGATGAGAGGAGGGATAAGGGGACACCACGCACACACACAGCCACACAGATGGCGAAGACAGAGGCTGTAACCAGAGGCACCCCCAGCCACCACTGGTGGATGTGCGTTCCTATGCTGGCCTGGGAGTGAAGGTTGGGGAAAGGGACAGATGATAGGATGAGAGGAGGGATAAGGGGACACCACGCACACACACAGCCACACAGATGGCGAAGACGGAAGCTGTAACCAGAGGCACCCCCAGCCACCACTGGTGGATGTGCGTTCCTATGCTGGCCTGGAGGGAAGGGATGGGGGAGGAGATGAGGATGGGATAAGGGGGGGAATAAGGGGAACATAACCACACACACACACATCCACTCAGATAAAGAAAATGGAGGTTATTATCACAGGCACGGCCAGCCACCACTGGTGGATATGTGTGTGCCTTTGTTGGCCTGGGAGGGACGGGATGGGGGTGGTAAAGACGACGGATCGGACAATCACTACCACCACACATACAGCCACACACGCAGGTGTCGCGAAACTCCTACAGGCGTCGCGAAACTCTTACAGGTGTCGCGAAACTCCTACAGGTGTCGCAAAACTGCTACAGGCGTCGCAAAACTCCTACAGGCGTCGCGAAACTCCTACAGGTGCCGCAGAACTAGTACAGGTTTGCTAGAGGCAGGAATCGCAGACCTCTGATGTGACGTTGGACCGCATCGCGTCTCCACCACCGTTGATTTCCGCGATCTAACGGCCGACGCAATCGTCAAAAGGCCAGAGAAAATCTGACGGCCGAGAATATCATCTAGGCTGCGCAAGTCAAATCAGACGGCTGACAGAAACTTATCCGTGGAGCCGCGATCCTTGAAGCACCAACAAGGAAGGTAGAAAAACGGGACGGATTATCGATTTTTTTCCGAGAACTAAGGCTTTCGACTCGGGTCAGAGCGCGAACTAGTGATTTTTGCGAGGTTGCACGTAACGGTTAGCAATCCAAGCGCTTCGGCGAAATCGAAGCGGCAACTATGCAAAACTGGCTTCTAGGCGAAACGTATGCCTGACGGATGATTGTTACGAGTCAGCACAGCAGTGACCCTCGGGAATACCGAGTATACGCATTAGTGTACTGCGCGTCCGCGTGAACTTCGGACCACCACTACACACTCAGTTGCTACAAAGCCATTATCCAGAACCCATCTTTTTTAGAGTATATCAAAATGACAAGCACAAGCACACATCCCGTAACTAAATCATATCAGACTGCACTGCACTGCACTCAACATACTTTGCAAGCACAGAGCTTCTTACAACCTAGGAGCCCAGCCTCCAGGTAAAATCGCCCTTGTCGATCCTTGACGGGAGATCTTGGTTGTTTCCTACGCATATCAAAATGCAACTGAACCAGTATCTATTCAAACCTATGCAGCACCGTAACCAAAAGGAAATGGATAACCTTAACTAGTTATACCCTGAACCAGTTACACGCTACACTAGCTCGACCCTTGCCATCCATGGCAGTGTCAAACATTGGACATATGTTATTTGGTTGCTGTGTAGGCTACAGTGGGTTAGCCTTTAGGGGGTACACAATTCTAGGGTTTCATACTTGTACTCCAATCTTCTCATAGTTCAACACTTCTTGTTTCTGATATGGCATTAGTTTGTTACTGGTTCTGGAGGCGCGGCTGGTGGAGACTGTCCTGGAGGAGTTGCCGCTGTGGAGCGAGCTGCTGGAGGTACTGGAGCTGCTGGTGCTGGCGGCACTACACAGTCGCGCCTGTTCTTCGCTCCGCCGTCTCCATCGTCTCTGCCGCCGCCTGACTCTGTCCTTCGCCAGGTTCTTAGTCGTCCGTCCTCTACCGGTCTTCCCCTCTTGCCTGGCTCACCGCTTCCTGCTCCTTCTCCTTACACTGAGCAGTCCGGTGGTCCTACTGAGCGTCGTGAGCCTGCGTCTCGTCCTGTCTCTGTCAGAATGTTATTCTCTAGCCTGTAGTGGGGTGCTCTATAGCGAGTACAACCCATCTAGGGTTTGCTATATGTATCCTCATTGCTGCTAGTGAAACCCCTCTTTTGCCTAAACTCTCTCTTGCCTAGCTAGGGTTTTCCTAGCTATGGCTCCTCATTCTACCTACTACTTTCACATGCTATCAGAGCGGTCACGCTCCTGGCCTGTGGACCCACCTCACTGCTTCCGCTGCTACTGCTACTCCGTGTGTTGCACGCCCCGTGGTGTGCGGCGAATTTTTCATCCCGCCGCGCGCTCGGAGCGTGCGGCGGTTTTCTGCCCGCCGTGCGCCCCGAGGCGCGCGGCGGCTTTCTGCCCCGTCACTCCGCGCGTCGCTCTCGGGAGGCGCTGCGACGGGCGACGGGGACCCGCGCGTCGCCCCCCGTCGCCCGTCGCGGCCTGCGCGACCTGCGTAGGGCCCGAGCGCGGCCCGTACAGCCTGCGCGCGGCCCGTACGGGCTGCGCCAGGCCCGCGCGCGGCCCGTACGGGCTGCACCAGGCCAGGGCGCGCCTCGGGCCGCCCGCGCGCGGTTCGTACGGGCTGCGCCAGGCCCGTGGGCGCCCTGTTTCCTCTTCCCCTGCGCTGCCCGCTGTCCCCCGTGGTTCTGACGGCGCCCCACCCCTGCTGCTGCCCGTTCTCCTGCATTAGGGTTTGGGGGTGGGGGATATGGGGGTGCAGATTCTGTGCGCCGTCCCCTGCTCCTCCTCCTCCTCCTCCGTCTCCCGCTGCTGCAGCTGCCGCTCAGGGGGGTGGGTGTGTGGGAGCCGAAGGAGTGGTGCTAGGGGGGTGACGTGGGAGTGGAGCTAGGGTTTGAGCAGGGGGTGTGTGTCGAGGGTGTGGGGCAGCTGGAGGAGGTTGTGTGAAGGTAGCTGTCGTGTCGCCTGCAGCGCCTGTAGTCCGTCGCCCTTGCTTCGGTAGCCAGTGAGCCTGTTGCACCAGTCGCCAGTGGGTCCGTTGCTCCTGCCGCTCGTCTATAGCCGCGGAGCCAGTCACTCCAGTAGTCCGTCGCCCTTGCTTCGGTAGCCACTGAGTCAGCCGCTCCTGTGCCCGTGCCTCTGCAGCTTCAGTCGTTGCCTCCCATCTTCTCTCCCTCCACAGTTCCTCCTCCTCCTCACTTGCCCGCTGTGATTAACTCTAGTTTTGCTTACCTTTGTGAACTCCTGCTCTATACCTGCTTGCTCATTGTACTGATTCCACCCCACTTTGGCTATGGGGGTGTGTCAGAATGTTATTCTCTAGCCTGTAGTGGGGTGCTCTATAGCGAGTACAACCCATCTAGGGTTTGCTATATGTATCCTCATTGCTGCTAGTGAAACCCCTCTTTTGCCTAAACTCTCTCTTGCCTAGCTAGGGTTTTCCTAGCTATGGTTCCTCATCATTCTCGTTGTAGTTTTCACAGTCTCGCCTGTTCGTTCTGGTCGTTCCGGTCGTCGTCTCCCGCGTCCACGCTCGCCGACTGTCCCCGGCACATCTGTCCCTTGTCGTCCGTCGTCCTTCCTCTGTTCCACAGTCTGTTCCTCTGCCGTCTCCTCCTGCGTCGTCTTTGCCTCACGTTCCGGACCCTGAGTCTGACCGGTTTCGTGCTGAGCACCCTACTGCCACGCGTCTGCTATCCACTATTGTCACTGACCCCTCGTTTGAGTCTTCTGCTGCGTCTGCCTTGGTCGCTGAGCTTGTTGACTTTGCTACTGCCTGTCGTCTAGACTACGCTGCTAGCCTTGTTGCTGAGTCTGAGTCTGTCTGTCCTCCGTCCGTCGGGGGTGAGTGTGCTCTTGGCACGGACGTCCTTGAGGACAGGCACGAGGACCTTGAGTGTCTTGCAACCGCTGCGCCTCATCTCGTGGCCATGCTGCTTGCCCCTGAGGGAGACCCGGATGCTCTAGACATCCCGACCCCGCGCTCTTACGCAGAGGCGATTTCGGGTCAGTACTCCTCTCAGTGGCAGGCAGCCATGGACGCAGAGATGGCATCCTGGAAGTCCATAGGCACTTACGTCGATGAGGTTCCCCCTCCCAAGGCGAACATCGTCGATGGCATGTGGATTTTCAGGGTGAAGCGGCCGCCGGGTTCTCCGCCTGTCTTCAAGGCTCGTTACGTTGCATGAGGCTTCAGTCAGCGACAGGGAGTTGACTTCTTCCAGACCTTCTCCCCCACCCCGAAGATGACCACTCTTCGGGTGCTACTGCACGTTGCCGCTCAGCGTGACTACGAGCTTCACTCTCTTGACTTCAGCACAGCCTTCTTACAGGGCAGCCTGCACGAGGAGATCTGGCTGCGCCGCCCACCTGGCTTCACTGGGTCGTTCCCTCCTGGTACCCAGTGGAGCCTCTGCCGGCCAGTCTACGGTCTCCGCCAGGCGCCTCATGAGTGGCACGACACACTGAGGACGACACTTGCGGCTCTTGGGTTTGCTCCTTCGATTGCTGACCCGTCGCTGTTTCTGCGCAACGACACTTCGCTGCCGCCGCTCTACATCCTCGTGTACGTCGACGACTTGGTCTTTGCCACTGCTGAAACTGAGGCTCTCGCCCACGTGAAGTCCGAACTGCAGAAGAGACACACGTGCACAGACCTGGGTGAACTGCGCAGCTACCTTGGCTTGCAGATCACCCGGGACAGAGCATGCCGCACCATCACACTGACTCAGTCACACATGGTGCAGTAGGTCCTTCAGCGCTTCGGCTTCACCTGGTCCTCAGCACAGGCCACTCCTCTGGCTATAGGTCACTCGCTCTCAGCTCTGCCTTCGGATGAGTCCGTAGAGCCGAGTGGTCCTTACCCAGAGCTAGTCGGTCGCCTCATGTACCTGATGACTTGCACTCGTCCTGACCTAGCGTACCCTCTTGACCTTCTAGCCCGCTACGTGGCTCCTGGTAGGCACCGAAAGGTGCACTGGGATGCTGCAAAGAGGGTATTGCGCTACTTGTGCAGTACATCGGGCATGGGGCTCGTGCTTGGAGGACGGCGAGAGGTGGTCCTCACTGGGCACTCAGACGCTTCTTGGGTTGACGACCAGGCTACTCAGCGGTCGTCACAGGGTTACACCTTCAGTCTTGGCTCTGGCTCAGTTTCTTGGCGTTCTACACGTTCGTCTTCAGTTCTCAGCTCCAGTTGTGAGGCTGAGATCTACGCCACAGCTATGGTTGCCCAGGAGTTGCGCTGGCTCACCTACCTGCTGACCGACTTGGGAGAGCGGCCTCGTTCTCCTCCAGTGCTGTACGTTGACAACAAGGCTGCCATTGCCTTGTGTGAGGAGCACAGACTGGAGCACAGAACGAAGCACATCGCTCTACGGTACTTTCTGGCTCGAGAGTTGCAGCAGCGTGGTCAGCTTCGTCTGCGTTACGTGGCCACTCAGGCCAACACTGCTGATATATTCACCAAGGCACTTCCGCCTAGTGATCATCAGCGCTTCTGCACTTTGTTAGGGCTTGTGCCCACTTTTCCTACTTGTTGTAGACTTTGCCCGTACTGTGATCTATATGTATATTCTTGCTTGCTTGCTAGATATAGATCTCTGTGATGCTTGTGCTACGTATATGCCTCTGCATGTGAACTAGCCTTGTGGCTCTTTGCTTGTGCTCAGAGTGTGTGGTGACGTTGTGATCCACCTTGAGCTTGCCTGCCTTTCTTAACTGGTCTTGTGACCCCTTGCTCTCCCCCACTTTGCCTATGGAGGTGTGTCAAACATTGGACATATGTTATTTGTTGTGTAGGCTACAGTGGGTTAGCCTTTAGGGGGTACACAATTCTAGGGTTTCATACTTGTACTCCAATCTTCTCATAGTTCAACACTTCTTGTTTCTGACAGGCAATACTCACACTGGCTCTGCTGCTTGCTTACTGCTCTCTGCTCTCACTACTAATGCTCGCTGCTCACTCTAACCATCCTCTAAATGCTTCCTTTCCACTTGCTACCTACCGGAAATACTCACCCCTTTGCCACCCGTCACCATCACTCTTTCCTACACTCCACTCAGCTATCTATCTCAACTTTCTTCACCTCTCCTCTCTCCAACCATAGTCCCATGACAATAACTCCCCTCCACCCATCCTCCTCTCCTCTCTTCACACCCATGACCCATTTCATCACTCCAGTCATCATCGATCTACGGATGGCTAGACTCCCCACCGTATTCCGCTCCCGCTACTTGCTCGTGCCATCTTCCCCTCTCTCCCTGCCCCTCTAATCACTCCAGTCATCATCCTCACAGTCTTCATCCTCATCCACTGGTGCTCGCCTCCTCTCCGGCTCTATCCCCTAGCTACTATCCGTTCTATCCCCCTGCCCCCCTAATCACTCCAGTCATCATCCTCACTGTCTTCATCCTCATCCACTGGTGCTCGCCTCCTCTCCGGCTCTATCCCCTAGCTACTATCCGTTCTATCCCCCTGCCCCCCTAATCACTCCAGTCATCATCCTCACTGTCTTCATCCTCATCCACTGGTGCTCGCCTCCTCGTAATCGCTCCTGCCAACATCGCCAGGGTAGCCCCCTTCACAAACTCAGTACCTTCCTCCCGTGCTGCTGTAGCTGTGCTCTTCTCACCACCCACACTCCTCTTTCACTAATCACTCCAGTCATCATCCTCACTATCTTCATCCTCATCCACCGGTGCTCGCCTCCTCGTAATCGCTCCTGCCAGCATCGCCTGGGTAGCCCCTCTCACAAACGGCGTAGCCTCCCCTCCTCCGCTCCCACCTCCTCTCCCTCCCCTCTCCTCCTCCTCACTCTCCTCACTCCCCTCCCCCTCTTCATCCTCCTCTTCTTTTTCCGCCACCGCTTTTGCAACCGCTTCCTGCTTCTGCTGCTGCTGCTTCTGCTGCTGCTGCTGCGATTTCTGCGTCTCCTGCTCCTTCTGCTGCTCCTCCTGCTCCCGCTGCTGCTTCCCAACCGCCTTCACCTTGGGCTGGGCCTGCTCCTTAGCCGCATCCTCCTCTGCTTTCTTCTTCTTCTCATACTCAACCAGATTCTTCTTGAATAGATCCACGAAATCCCTCAACACACCAAAGACTGGGGAGCGGGAGGGAGCAGGGGCAGCAGGGAGGGAGCAAGGGCAGCAGGGAGGGAGCAAGGGCAGCAGGGAGGGAGCAAGGACAGCAGGGAGGGAGCAAGGGCAGCAGGGAGGCAGCGGGGAGAGATTAAAGGGACGGAGACTTAGTGTGCTTCCCACTCGCCTTGGGTTGGATGGAATGAATGAACCTTCACCGTTGGCAAACTAATGCATAGGGTTCAACATAATGCCGCGCCTAAAAATGAACCTTCACCTTGGATGCATTGGTTTTGCATTGGGCGAGTCAACGCATCAAGTTAGAGCATGAATTAACTCACTGAGCGTGTCCGAGCTAAGAGGTTGCATTCGGGTCCGAGCCACAATAGTCCGAACCTAACTTACGTGATTGTAGCAGCCGGACCAACCAGTTAGGCTCGAACTGAACTTACTTAGTGTAAAGGAAGTTGTCTTAGGGTCCGAGCCAAACTTGCGAGCGAGATTCTCAGCACTGGCGTTCTGGTGGACCGGGAGGGTGATTGGAGAGGGGAAGGGGAGAAGAAAGGGAAAGGGGGAATGGTGATGGGGGGAGGGGATGTGGGGAAAGTTGTCTTAGGGTCCGAGCCAAACTTGCGAGCGAGATTCTCAGCACTGGCGTTCTGGGAAGTGGGGCGAAGGTGATGGGTGCCGGGGCGGAAGAGGAAGGGAGAGAAAGGAGAGGGCAGAACGGTAGGGGGGCGAGGGGGAGAGGTTGGCCAAGGGATATGAAGAGTAGGGATGAGCTTCTTGGGTGCCATGCCCGCATGCTTCAATTCATTCAATCAACGATTGAGTGATATGGGAGTTCTCACCATTTCTCCCATAAGACTGTGGACGCTGGCATGCCATCTAACGACATCCTCCTCATAAAACAGCTGCATGGCTCGATGCGTGTCCGCATGCTTCAACGGCAATGCCTCCTCCTCCCGCTTCTCCTCCTCCTTCTTCTCCTTCTCCTTCTCCTCCTTCTTCTCCTCCTCCTTTTTCTCCTCCTCCTTTTTCTCCTCCTCCTTTTTCTCCTTCTCCTCTCCCTTCTCCCCCTCTCCTTCCTTACCCTCACCCTCCTTCTCTCCCTCTCCCTTCTCCCCCTCTCCTTCCTTACCCTCACCCTCCTTCTCTCCCTCTCCTTTCTCCCCCTCTTGCGCTTTCTTCTCCTTCTCTTTCTCCTTCTCCTCCTCCTTCTTCCTCTCCTCCTCGGCCATCTTCTCACACTCCTTCAACTCTCGCTCCACAAGCACCTTCCCTCTGTCAAGCTCCCCAATCACTTCCGCCAGTCCCTTTTGATCCACCTGCAGGGATCAAACATAAACAGAGAACGAAACGGGCGAGCAGCAGATAAGATTAGCACTCTCTCCCCTTCTCCTCCCCCCCGGCCATCTTTTCACACTCCTTCAACTCTCCCTGTACAAGCACCTTCCCTCTGTCCAACTCCCCAATCACTTCCGCCAGTCCCTTTTGTTCCACCTGCAAAGGATAAGATAAAAACAAGCGAAAGCAGAGACGCATGACGTTAGAGGAAAAAAATTCCCTCTGTCGAGCTCCCCAACCACTTCCGCCAGTCCCTTTTTATCCACCTGTAAAGGATGAGAGGGACGGGAAGCACAGAAACACCGCCTTACAGAAAACCTTCCCTCCGACCAGCTTCACCAAGAGGTGATGTGACTCATCAGCTCACCTTCCAGAAGCAGAGCCGTTCAAAGAAGGGGAGATCACAGAAACACCGAGTGGAGAAAGTCATCCCTCTGACAAGATTCACTCAAAGATTCACTCAAAGGCCAAGTGAACTCAGCTCACCTTGATGGCCTCGTTGGGCCTCGTTGGGCAGTTTCCGAGACCCGTCGAACTGAGACGATTTTTGAGGCGCCTCAAAAATCGCCTCGCTGGACAGTTTCCGAGACCCGTCGGTAAAATCCTTCTAAAAGTCGAGCCACTCGGGGCAAGATGCCCTCTCGGGTCAGCCAGAGCCAGGTCAGGGTGTAACTTAACCCCCACACAATCAGCTCACCTTAATTGAAATAAGCTCAGCTCACCTTAATCGCCTCGTTGAGCAGATTCCGAGACCCATCGGTGAAGTCCTTCCAGAAGTAGAGCCACTCGGGGCGGCACTGACTCAGGACCTGCAAAGGGGGGTGAAGGAAAAAGAGAGGGGCACGGTACAAGGAGGGGAAGGGAGAAGGGAGGGGACCCGTGGGTGAAGTCCTTCCAGAAGTAGAGCCACTCGGGGCAGCACTGACTCAGGACCTGGAGAGGTGACGGGGGTGGAGCTTAGTTGCCAAATACGCTTATTGCGTATATACGCGTATCGTATATACGCTAGCGTATGTACGCAATCCGCGTAGGGGTCGATTTGGACATACGCTTTTTCGGGCAGGGAAAAAACTTTCCCGGGCAGGGCGAAAAACAAGGTACTCCCTATTCTAAGGCGTCCCCCAGCATTTTCCTGATATCGAAAGGTGGGTGATGTGGGAGGTGGAGGCGACAATAGCGCTTGGACGCGGGAATGGATAGAAATGACGAGGAGTTGGGGTGGCTGGTAAGTAGCGTGAGGGTTGTTGGAGTTTCGATTTTGACAAGGAGTTCGTAGATAAGATGGGGTTCAATGCGGTAGATGGGATGGATTTCAATGTGTAGATCTGAAATCCAACTTTCGATTTGCCAGATCTGCCTGGGAAATTCGATGTCAAATTCCCGCTTGCCTAGACCACAGATTTGCATTTCGACTTTGGCGAAATGCTCAGCAAGAAAATCCGCATCTAATTCGTGATTTTTTTTCGGGCAGCCCTAGAAAATTTTCCGATTGCGTATAGCATATTTGCTTGCGTTTAGCGTGTACCGTGTACACGCTAGCATATATCCGCTAAACGCAAAGTGTCGTGAGCGTAATTGGCAACTTAGGGGTGGTGGAGGTGGAAAAAAGGGTGGCAGCAAGGAGGAAGGGAAGGGCGAACAAGAGGGGAGTTTTAAGGTGAGAGGGGAGGGGAAGGGTAGAAGGGAGTAGACCCCTCGGTGAAGTCCTTCCAAATCAGAGCCACTCAGGGCGGCACTCGCTCTGCAACTGAATAGTGAATGATGGAGGGTTATACAGTGTAAGGAGGGAACAGGGAGGGAACGGTGAAGGAGATGGTGTGTGAGTAGGAGAAGAGTTATACAGTGCAAGGGGGGAACAGAGGTGACTTTTGAGTCGACTCAAAATCACAGTGAAGGAGATGGTGTGTGAGCAGGAGAAGAGTTATACAGTGCAGGGGGGGAACAGGGAGGTGGGGGAAGAGACTACGTGAATTTTACTTTTGAGACACATAGACTAGTTGGTAGAATCCTTCCAGAAGTACAGCCACTCGGGGCGGCACTGACTCAGGACCTTAGTTGCAAAAGACGCAGATCAGACGCTGCGTCCTGCGTCTGGACGCAGCGTCTAGACGCTAGGACGCAGGACGCGCGTCCAGATGCAGGACGCACGCGGAATTTTTTCTCGGGCTGCCCGAAAAAAAAATCCCGACTCCGAAATTCACATTCGCGATTTCGACGCGACTGTCGAAATCGCGAAATTTCGACCCCCTAAGGCCAAATCGACATTCTAAAACAACCCCCCCAACATTTCATAACCCGCGAAGAGGCGAAGGAGACGAGAACGAGGATGATGAGGATGTGTGAATGGTGGACTTGATGCAATGCAGTAGTGCAGTGGTAGTTCAGTTCAGTATGCATGTTTCTAAGTGGTCGGATTAAACTAAATGTGTGTGCGACTATGCGACATGTGTGATGTGATGTGACGCGTGACTCACCTTAGTCTATACTTTTGGGGAAAAAAATTGTTGTTGGGGAAAATTTTGCCTTGAAAGTGTGTGGAAGGTGCCCCCCCCCCCCCCCCCCCCCCCCCCCCTGCCCATGCCCTATACCAAGTTTTTTTGCCTGCCCGAAAGTTTTTTTTGCCCTGCCCGGGCTTGCGTCTTTTGGTGCGTCCTAGGCATCCAGGGACAGCGTCCTGCGTCTGGACGCATGCGTCCTAGACGCAGGACGCGTCTTTTGCAACTAAGCTCAGGACCTGCAGAGGAGGCGATGGTGTTGCTGATGGCGGAAGGGAGGGGGGAGGAGTGAGCAAGAGGAGAGTCATGAACACACACACACACACACACACACACGCACACGCACACGCACACGCACACGCACACGCACACGCACACGCACACGCACACGCACACACACACACACACACACACACACACACACACACACACACACACACACACACACACACACACACACACACACACACACACACACACACACACACACACCTTGATGAGGTACGCCATGAAGCCCTTGGTGTTGGCCACCTTGTTGGTACAATATGAGACATCATTTGCACCTTGTATAAAGAAGCACCTTATATGGTGTATATAAATATGACGCACCTTGATGAGGTACGCCATGAAGCCCTTGGTGTTGGCCACCTTGTTCAGATCGTTGGCAGCAAACCCGACCACCTTGCCTGCCGCATCAGCAACCGTGGCACGGCACACATGGAAACAACAGAAGAAGAAAATATGGGAAAGGAAACAACAGAAGAAGAAAATATGGGAAAGGAACAAAGAAAGGCACAAACGGTGACATAGACGCATGCGACGCGACTTGGTTTACTCATTCAAGCTTGTTGACTCACACCACCAGCAAAACACTACAGCAACAACAGCTGCAACCACCACACAGTTTTGAGGCGCCTCAAGACTCACACCACCAGCAAAACACTACAGCAACAACAGCTGCAACCACCACACAGTTTTGAGACGCCTCAAGACTCACACCACCAGCAAAACACTACAGCAACAACAGCTGCAACCACCACACAGTCACCATTCAAGCCCCTCACCCTTCTTGGTGCCCTCATTAAGCTTGTTGCCAATGTCCCGCACCACCAGCAGCACGTGCTGCAGCTTCTGTGACTCTTGGATCTGCGCACAGGTTCGGAAAGAGAAGGAACAGGCAAGGGATTTAAAAACGGGAGCAGGGGTAGGGAGAAAAAGGGAGTTATGGGTTATGAGAATGCCCCGCACCACCAGCAGCACCTGCTGCAGCTTCTGTGACTCTTGGCTTGGATCTGGGGGAAACGGGAATGTTGACTTCTGAAGCATGGCTTGCAAAAGGAAGAAACTGAAGCATGGCTTGCAAAAGGAAGAAACTGAAGCATGGCTTGCAAAAGGAAGAAACTGAAGCATGGCTTGCAAAAGGAAGAAACTGAAGCATGGCTGGCAGGCAGGCAAACGAGCGATTTTTGAGAAATGTTGAAAAAACGCTCACACGAATGCGGAAGGAAGAAACAAAGGAGGGGAATCGAGGGATGGCACAGGAGAAAAGTGAAACCTTTTGTAGGTGGATACGCATGCAGAAAGAAGACGACAAAGAACCAACGAAGAGGAGACGGACAGGAGGGACGAGGGCGGGGGAGGGGAGTGGGAGTGAGAGGAACAAGGTGAAAGGCTCACCTTTTGTGAGACAAGGGTAACGAACTTGATCGTGTCCGCAAGCTCTGGTGCCTGGTGGGAGTTCAGGTAAGAGAATGGAGGCATGGGGCAGCAGAAATGTAGTTTTGAGGCGCCTCAAAACTAGAATGGAGGCATGGGGCAGCAGAAATGAAGCGTAGGTGGAGTACTGGTTCAGGTCAGGGTGCTGTTTACCAGGAGTTCCAGAGATGGTGCTCCTGATTTTGCCTTGCGTTCCGACTCCTGATAACAACACTATCACATTGAAGTGCTGTGCTCTTCTCGTAACCTCCAATCTGGTGATTTTTTTTTGTTTTGTTTTGTGTGGATTTCCCTTTATTTTGAGAAGAGAGAGAGAGAAAGGAAGAGAAATAACATCAGATTCGAGTGCTGTGCTCTTGAATTGACTCACAAGGTTCACAGCACTGCACTCCAATCCGAACAAGAGGATGGCTAGCCATTGTTGCGAAGCATAATCACATGTACCCACTCCCCCCACCTACCCACCCACCCACCACCCTCCACCCTTTACCCACCCACCCCCCACCCTTCACCCATCCACCCTCCACCCTTCACCCACCCTTCACCTCCCACCCTTCACCCTCCACCCTGCACCCATCCACCCTCCACCCGCCCAGCCCCCACCCTCCACCCTCCACCCTCCACCACCACGACTCACCTGCTCCGCCAGGAATATCCTGTACTGCAGCACTTTGAGCTTCAGCTCCAGCCGCTGCACCCCCAGCAGCACCAATCTCAACCACTCAGTACCCATCTCCTCTCCCTACACTCACCCTCTCCGCCAGGAATATCCTGTACTGCAGCACTTTGAGCTTCAGCTCCAGCCGCTGCACCCCCAGCAGCACCAATCTCAACCACTCAGTACCCATCTCCTCTCCCTACACTCACCCTCTCCGCCAGGAATATCCTGTACTGCAGCACTTTGAGCTTCAGCTCCAGCCGCTGCACCCCCAACCAACAGCATCCACCACCATCAACCCCAACCACTCAGTACCCCTCTCCACCACCACAACTCACCCTCTCTGCCAGGAATATCCGGTACTGCAGCACTTTAAGCTTCGGCTCCAGCCGCTGCACTCCCAGCAGCGCTCGGAACAGCTGCAAGGGGACGAGGAAAGGGCGGACGAGGGAAGGGCGGGGGGGGGGGGGGAATGGGGAGGGTATGAGACATGAGTTTTGAGACGTCTCAAAACTCTTCTTTTTTCACGTGGGGAGGTTATGAGACATCTCAAAACTCCGTACTGCAGCACCTTGACTTTTGAGTCGACTCAAAAGTCGCCCCATACTGCAGCACCTTAGAGCTTCGGCTTCCGTCCAGCCGCTGCACCCCAAAAGCAGCGCTCGGAACAGCTGCAAGGGGGACGAGGAAAGGGCGGACGAGGGAAGGGCGGGGGGGGGAAATGGGGAGGTTATGAGACATCTCAAAACTCCGTACTGCAGCACCTTGTAATTAGTCGATTTTTGAGTCGACTCAAAAATCGGACGAGGGAAGGGCGGGGGGGGGAAATGGGGAGGTTATGAGACATCTCAAAACTCCGTACTGCAGCACCTTGAGCTTCGGCTTCCGTCCAGCCGCTGCACCCCAACAGCAGCGCACGGAACAGCTGCAAAGAGAAGCGGAGAGGGGGTGGTGGCGGAGGGAAGGGAGGTTGAGATGGGAGAGAAGAGAGAGGTTCGGAATTGACGAGGAGGAAAATGGGGGAAGAAGAGGGAGAAAGTGGTGAAGATTTGCAATATCTTAAAAAAAAACTTAACACTGTACTGCACGGGCGAGGGTTTAGGTGCTTGAGGTTTGATGGTAAAAGGAGGAGACTTCTGTGAATTTTGCAAGGATCTCTCAAAACCCTGAGAGCACTGGTCACAGAAGGAACTCTGCACACTGCAAGGATTCTGAAAAAACCCTGAACACTGCACAGAGCAGCTGCAAGTAAAGGGGGAAACTCAACTCAACCCTTGCTCTCTACCTCCCTCCTCCCTCAGTACCTACTTTTTTCACAACCCAACTTCCTTAGGGTCTCATTCTCACCTCCCTCCCTCCCAGCCTGTCCCAGCACACACCTGCTCGCACGGACCCAAGTCCTCCACGTTCCCCTTGAACTCCTGCCAGGGAGGGGGGGGGACGGGGGAGGGGAAAGGGGGGAAAGATGGCATGAGTAGGCAGGTAGTAGGCAGGTGAGTCGACTCAGTGGTCCCTCCCAGCCTGTCCCAGCACACACCTGCTCGCACGGACCCAAGTCCTCCACATTCCCCTTGAACTCCTGCCAGGGAGGGGGGGGGGGGACGGGGGAGGGGAAAGGGGGGAAAGATGGCATGAGTAGGCAGGTAGTAGGCAGGTGAGTCGACTCAGTGGTCCCTCCCAGCCTGTCCCAGCACTCACCTGCTCGCACGGACCCAAGTCCTCCACATTCCCCTTGAACTCCTGTCAAGACGGAGGCACGGGGGAGGGGGAAAGGGGGAGGGGGGGGGAGAAGGAGATAGAAGGTGTGAGTCGACTCAGCAGTCACTCCCAGCCTTCCCCGGCATGCACCTGCTCGCACGGACCCAAGTCCTCCACATTCCCCTTAAACTCCTGCCAAAGGAGGGGGGGCAGGGAAGGGGGGAAGGGAAGGAGGCGGAAGAGGGGGGGCGTGTTGCAGTGTGGGGGGAGGAAAGGGGAGGGGAGGGGAGGAGAGTTGGCATGAAGGGGAGCCAAATCCCACAGCACGCACCTGTCTGTTTGCACATATCCAGGAAATATAAGCTGATTCTGATTCTTCAAGTGAAGAGCACCATGCACTTACACAGCACACACACAGACACGAGAGTGCTTCATTCATTCTTCTACCTAAACCCTCAGCAGCCGCTTCTCCTTGTCATCTGGGCCGTTCTTCAGGAGAGTCTCCACCTGGCTGTCACACCACTTGCTGCACACAAGCATGCAAGCATTGTGCATGTATATATCATATCATCCCACCAACCCCTCCACCTACAAACGTGACTCACCCGCAGAAGCCTCTTTTCCTTGTCATCCGGGCCGTATTTCAGCAGAGTCTCCACCAGGCTGTCACACCACTCGCCTATCGTGGACGTGTCGACACTCAGCACTGCAATCTGGAGAGAGAAATGGAGAGAGGGGACGAGGGAAAAGCGGAGATGGACGGTGGGAGGGCTGCGTACAGGAGAAAAGAGACTTTCCAGGGTTGTCTGTTGCACCACTTTTTGAGGCGCCTCAGAAACGGGAGGGCTGGGTACAGGAGAAAAGAGACTTTCCAGGGTTGCCTGTTGCACCACTCCCCTATTGTCAACACGTCCACACTCAACACCGCAACCTGGAGTGAGAATGAGCAGAAACGGAGAGGGGCAGAGGGAGGGGAGAAGCAAAGAGGGCGGAGAGAAGAGAGTTCTGCAGAGAACAGAAAGTTCTGCAATCATTTTGGTTTGGTCCCATAAAACTGACTTTTGAGTCGACTCAAAAGTCACCTTGGTTTGGTCCCATAAAACTGCCTTTTTTTATTATGCGAAGAGGGACGAGAGTAGAAACACAGGCAAGGAGCAGGGAGCAGAGAGCAGAGAGCAGAGAGTAGAGAGAAGGGAGAAAGGAGAAGAGAGCAGAGAGGCAGAGGGGCAGAGAGGGAGGCATACCACGAGGTCGTGCGGATGTAGCTTCATGCTGCGAAGAGAAATCTCCACGTTCCTCGACTTGCCCATGTCGATCTGGGAGGTTGAAGGTGGGGGGGGAGGGGGGGAGGGGGGGGGGGGGGGGGGGAGAGGGATGGATTGAGGCAACTTTGTCCCAACCAGCTTCATGCATGTCGATCTGTGCGTGCACGGGGGGGGGGGGGGGGGGGGGGGGGGGGGAGGGTTGGAGTGGAGGGAGGTGGAGGGGGAGGACGAGATGTGGCATCGTCGTTATCCCAACCAGCTTCATGCTGCGAAGGGAGATCTCCACGTTCCTGGACTGGACTTCGCCATGTCGATCTGAGAGCGCACGGGGGGCAGGAGAGGGGGGGAAGCGGTGGGGGAGGGGAAGGTTGGGGAAAAGGGGGAATGTGTTATATATCTATCCCATCCCAACCAGCTTTATACTGCAAAGGGAGATCGCCACGTTCCGTGACTTGGCCATGTCGATCTGTGCGTGTGAGAGGAGGGGGGGGAGAGGAGGAGTAAGGTGGGGTTCGGGGGAAGGGGAGGGGGGGATGGACGAGGCTTTTTTTTTCATCCCAGCCAGCTTCATACCACTTAGTACTCACAACACGGTTACTCGTTTCTTCGCCGGCTGCTCTGCCTTTTTGACAGGAGCCGCTAACTTGGGCTCAAGTCAAACTGCTTTGAACCACTTGGTACCACTTAGCACCACTTGGCACCGTTTGGCACCACATGGTACTAACAATGCGGATGACTTGCTTCTTGACAGGCTGCTCCGCCTTCTTGAAAGGAGGCACTGCTTTCGGCTCAAACCAAACTGCTTGGAACCACTTCGCACCACTTGGTACCACTTGGTACTCACAATGCGGATGACTTGCTTCTTCACAGGCTGCTCCGCCTTCTTCAACGGAGCTGCTGCCTTGGGCTCAAACCAAACTGCTTGGGACCACTTGTTACCACTTGGTACCACGTGGCACCACTTGGTACAGACAGATTGGAATCACTTGGTACTCACAATGCGGATGACTTGCTTCTTGACAGGCTGCTCCGCCTTCTTGAAAGGGGCCGCGGCCTTGGACTCAAACTGCTAGGAACCACTTCTTACCACTTGGTACCACTTGTTGCCACTTGGCACTCACAATGCGGATGACTTGCTTCTTCACCGGCTGCTCTGCCTTCTTAAAAGGAGCTGCTGCTTTGGGCTCAAACTGTTTCTTCAACTCCCCAATATCGATATCAAAGTCAAGCTCTCTGGTTGAGAAGGGGAGGGGAAGGGGGAGCGGGTATCAATGGAGGAGAGGGGAATGGCAAAGGGGCAAGGAAGCATTGCCTTGGCTTTGGGCTCAAATCAAACTGCTTCTTCAGCTCCCCAATATCGATATCAAAGTCAAGCTCTCTGGTTGGGCAGGATGGAGGGGGAATGGGTGAAGGGAAGGGAAGGGAAGGACGAGCAACGACGGGAAGAGGGGGTGGAGAAGGAGTAAGGAAGGAAGGAGGCAATGCCTCTTCAAACCCCCTCTTTTCCGTCGTGGGCTCAAACTGCTTCTTCAACTCCCAAATATCGATATCAAGTCAAGCTCCCTGGTTGGGAGAAAGGCAACGAGTAATCAGAGAGGGAAAGGAGTAGGAGTAATCATGACTGACTTACCCACAAGATGCTTTGCCAGCGCTACCTCTCTACCTGCCTCCTCCTACCTCGCTACCTCCCTTAATAAACCCCTTAAATTATTTTCATTCCCCCCACTTCCCTTCTCCCCAATCCCCTTCCTTTCCCACCTCCCCTTCTCCCCACCGGAAGCTTGTTCCCAAATTAGAAGCATTACTAAAACAAGAAACAGCTCACGAGATCCAGATGGTGCTATCCACATTCGTCATGGCCCATGCCCCCATGCCCCCCATGCCCCCCATGCCCCCATGCCCCCCATGCCCCCCATGCCCCCATGCCCCCATGCCCCCCATGCCCCCCATGGCCCCCATGCCCCCATGCCCCCCATGCCCATGCCCATCCCCAGTCCACCTGCGCACACTTCCTTCCTCCACCACACTCCCCTTTCCAGACCTAGCCCATTTTAGCAGCATTACTAAAAGAGGAAACAACTCACGAGGCCCAGATGGTGCCATCCGCGTTTGTCACGCCCCCCCAGTCCACCAGCGCGCGCTTCCCCCCAAACGCCCCCCCAGGAGGCGGAGGAGGACCCTTCCCCGTGAACCCAGGCAAAGGGAGAGGGGGAACTGCGGCCTTGGCGCCTGGGGGAGGCGGGGGAGGGGGAGGCCCCGGGCCCTTAGCGCCTGGGGGAGGCGGGGGGGGAGGGGGGCCCTTCCGCCCTGGGGGAGGGGGAGGCGGAGGGGGGCCTTTGGAGCCTGGGGGCGGGGGCGGGGGAGGGGGGCCCTTGGCTCCGGGGGGAAAGGGCGGGGGAGGGGGCGGAGGAGGTCCTTTGCCCCCAGGGGGGGGCGGGGGAGGGGGAGGAGCCTTCAAAGTACCACCATTGAGTGACGAGCTAAGCGGGGGAGTCTTGGGGCGGGCCTTTCCCCCCCCTCCCCCTGCTTCTTTCTCCTCACTCTCCTCCCCAAACCCTCCTCCTATCGACCCTGCAGCCGCTTTCAACCCCTCCCAACTGACTCCCTCCGCCTTGGACCCCCCAATACCCCTTCTGGCGTCTTTCACCTGAGTCCCATAACTCACAATCGCCCCCTCCTCATCATCCTCACTCTCTCCTCCCCTCTCCCCATCCTTCCCTTTTTTCGCCTTATCATCCTTTGCTTTCTTCACCCATTTCTTTGCCACACCTGCCACCTTGCTCAAATCCTCCTCCCCCTCCAAACTTTTTTTAACCTCTGGTAAACCAGGCGAAGCCGCGGGTTTCGTCGGGGTCAGAGCATCATTTTCCAAGCTGCCCGGGTCATTGGACGAGCCCTCTCGAGCAAGTCTCGCCTTTCCCAGAGAAATGAACGAGCCGTCATCGTCGTCTTCCCAGCCTCTACGGCTTGGGGCTTTTTTTGCCCTGCCCAGAGCAGCAAACGAGCTATTTTCACCTGCCCCATCGTCCATCCCATCACCACCACTCAATCCAATCCCATCTCCTTCCCCGCCGTGCGAAGCACCTGACCTAGCTTTACGAATTGCCGCTGCTGCCACCGCCCTACTCCCCCCGTAACCTCTCCTGCCCTTTACCCGGCCTTCCTCCCTCCCCCCTCGCTCTCCCCTTGCCCGCTCCCCCAATTCTTTGAAGCTCTTACGCTCCTTCGCAGGCCCTTCCTCCCCCTCGTCTCCCTCCTCCCCCTCTTCCCCTCCCCCCCCATGTTCCCCCTCTTCCCCCCTTCTTCCCCGCCTTCCTCCCCTCGCTACCCTTCCCCCGCCCCCTTCTCCTCCTTCCACCCCCTCACCTTCTTCCGACCCCCCTTTTCTCCCCGCCTTTTCCCGCCTCTTCCTCTCCCCCAAGCTCCCAAACTTCCGCTCAACCTGCTCCTCCCCCTCCCCTCCCCCGCCCGCCTTCCCCCCTTTGCTCTTCTTCCTACCACTCCCCCCCGTCCCCCGCCCATCCTCACTCCCACTCCCCTCCCCCCAAAAGTCCATCTTTTTCGTCTCTTCCTTCGCCTTCCTTACAAGCACCTTCTTTTTATTCTGCTTTCGTTTAGAGCCCCTAGGGGCCAACCCTTCCAGTAAATGCAACCCCACTATCCCTTCCGACTGCCTCACAAACACCTCCCACTCAGTCTTAAACGCCTCTTTTCCAGACCCCTTCCCTTCCGCCTCCCCCCCCGCTGCTCCTGCTGCTCCCCCTACTGCTCCCACCGCTTTCACTGCAGCTGCTGCAAGAATCCCATGCTCGTTACTAGCAAACGACGGGTGCACCCCGGACGCCAGCGCATGCGGAGGCGTGTTCGCCGCGAATCTGGTAACCCTATTCGCGGACGAAGTAGACGAAGGCGTGGACGCAGCACTGATGCTCGTGATCCAGTCAAATCCCGACGCGGGCCCTAGAACCTCCTCGAAATTCACCTCCAGTTCCGAATCCGCGTGGCTACTAAGGTCATCATCGTCCTCATTCTCATATGACTGGAACGTGCTTCTGCTGCGCACGCTGCCTGCCTCGCTGCCATTGTCGTTGAAGCTGCTAGTGGGGGTGCTAGCGCCGCTGCTCATGGGGGTTAAGCTCCTGCTTCCCTTTCCGCTTCCTTTTCCGCCTCCCCCTGCGTCTAACCGCTTTCTCCCCGCCTTCTCACCCGCGGAGGAAACCGACGCGGAGGCCTTCCCCCGCCTGCCTATATCCGCTAACGTTCCGCCGCCCCCGTCTCCCCCCCCGTCGCCTCCGCCTTCCGCCCTGCCTTCCGCCCCAGACACTGACGCGGCTGCTGCTAGGCGCCGCGGCTTGCGCACGTGCGTGTGCCCGTGAACGTACCCGGGAGTCGGACCTGCTCTGTGCGGGCTCGATCCTTCCGCGGGCGGCGCGCGCGACGTCGACGCGTTCGATCGCGTCAGCCTTGGCCGCGGCCCTTGCGACGCGTGCGACGAGGAGGTGTTCGCGGCAGCGGATTTGGGTCGCGCGTCCGTCGCCGGCAGATCGTCGTCGGTCCATTTCTTGGACCTGGAAAGGGTGGCGAGGAACCCTAGCTGCGAAACGGGCGAAACAGGGGGATGTGGTAACAGTAAAAATACCAGTTGTGACACACGGACGCTTAAACAGAGCAGAATGCGACACGGCTTGACGAACTTCACCGTTAGAGTAACCGTTCTTCTCGCGGCCATCGTTACCGCGTACAGGTGTACATATCGTGAGCAGAACCTACTGAAATTCTATCCGGAGCATCATATCGCGGATGAGAGTGTGCCTTAATCAGGATCTCCCGGGAACACGGGAACGTCTATAGTGGGGATAAGGATGCACGTAACGGGGAGATACCAGAAGCTGCGCTTCGCCGGGGTTGGCGGCGGATCAGCTGGAGAAGGCGAGTTTCAGGAAACCCTAACGGCATGTATCGGTTTCCTCTATACCGGGATCGAAGTGTACCTGTAGCGGAGCCTCGCCAGAGTCGCCAGGAGTGGGAGTTGCCTCAACGGGAGGAGACGACGCGGCCCTCGCGTTGCCGCTTCGAGATGGCCGCGGGCGGTACGGAGACTTTTGCGAAGAATCATTCGGCACCTCGAGAGGGGACGGGGCGTTGGCATTGCCACTTCGAGATGGCCTAGGACGATACGGGGATTTCTGAGTCGCCTCAGTTGCCACGTCAGGAGCAGACGGGGAGGCGGTAGCATTCGTTTCCCGAGGCTTCCGAGGGCGGTAAGGAGACTTATGCGTCGAATCATTCGGCACCTCGAGAGGAGACGGGGCGTTGGCATTGCCACCTCGAGATTGCCGAGGGCGATACGGGGACTTTTGAGGCCCCTCAGTCGAAAGATCCGGAACAGACGGGGAGGCGTTGGCATTGACGCCTCGAGACTGCCGAGTGCGGTACGGTGACTTATGAGTCGTCTCATTCGACACCTCGAGAGGAGGCGGGGCGTTAGCGTTGACACCTCGAGATTGCCGAGGGCGGTACGGAGACGTGGGACCGGGTCGCTCCATCCTACTGCTGCAGCCTTCACGACCCCCAGACTGTCCCTTCGCTGCTAATCCGCTCCTACTCGCCTTCAAGAAAACACCCTATTTAAAGGAGATGAACGAGTGATGATTCACCCCTACCTGCGGCTCGTCACCTAGACCCAAGTCATCGCGCACTCCGCAGCCTAGCTCACTAACGAAATGCCATAACCACGACCTGATTTCGCACTAACGTTCTCCGCGGCGGCCTGAACTCGCTGACGCGCCTGCCGGCGTGGTTCTCATGTCTGCCGCGGCTCTTATGTCTGCCGTGGTTTTTATGTCCGGAAATAGATGCCTGCTTGGATCCGTAACCTAAGGAACGCTACCACGATGCCTTGGTTCTTGTGTCCAGATAAAAGCGCCTACTTGGCTTAACCGTAAGAAAGAAAGCTATCATAATGGCGTGGTTCGAGCTGCCTGAAAGCCTTTCCGCATTGCGGTTCAGGGCGACCGTCCATCATAACACCATCGCACTAGCCGAGACGAGCCCACTAGTCGCACACTGCCTTTCCGCACACTGCTTGAGTTGTGCATTGCAGCAGCAGGCTACCTGCACTCCTGTCGACGCTCTTTATCGGTATTGAACCTATCTGTTTCCGCGTCGTCTCTGCTCTACTGGTACTGGTTAGAGCAGAGCCTGAAACATAAATCGCCGACGGCGAAGTTATTGGGGTTCCTTGGGAGATAGGTGGGCTGTACTTGTCTGCCAGAGAACGGGCATGATCTACTTTTGTGCAGGTCAGAGCACAGAAAGTACTGAAGCGCGAATGACCGCTTCGCAACGCGTGAAAACGTTTGGAACCGCTTGGAATGATTTGCGCTGGTTCTGTTAGGGAAGTGTGGAAACGCTTCGGTTCGGCCCGAACAACATGAACTCGCCACAGTAGTCCCCATTCTAACTGAGCTTATTGTTACAGACCCATTTTTTCATCCCCTCTAAAATATTAAAATAACACACAACCAGGTTCAAGAAAACCGATTTTACAATGAAAAGCGAGCACGTCGCCCTCCCTTGCCGGCGGAAAACACCTTAAAGCACTTGTATCCCTCACAGCTTCGCACAAACGGAATGCAAATCTGGTCGCTGGGGCACACCTTCCTCAACACGCAGGGACGCTCATTTTTGTCAGGCCGCTCCTTGTTTTTGTCACACACCCACGGGCACAGGCGCCGCTGCTTGACTACGCAGCCGGTAGGTGCAGGAGGGGATGTGCCGCCAGAAGCAGTAGGGAGAGAAGGGGGAGGAGAGGAAGGAGGGGGAGGAGGAGGCGAGGGAGGGGGAGGAGAGGGAGGAGGGGGAGAAGGGGGAGGAGGGGGAGAAGGGGGAGGAGGGGGAGAAGGGGGAGGAGAGGGGGGAGGAGGCGAGGGAGGGGGAGGAGAGGGGGAGGGGGAGAAGGGGGGAGGAGGGGAGGAGGGGGGGGAGGGAGGAGGGGAGGAGGGGGGAGGGGGGGGGGGGGGTTCGATGACCTTTACTGCAAGATGAAAAGGGTAAACACGAGGAGGGTAGGAACAGTTCCGGAGGGGAAACGACTTGTTTAGATAAGAGGAGGAAGGTATCAGAAGCAGATGTAGATACAAAAAGCAGACAGCCATTGAGTTGGAAAAGGAGCGGAGAGATGCAGTCTACATCAAATAGACTGGAGGCTATTCTTCATTAGACACATCCACAGCCATACGGAGGCGGGAAATGTGAGGAGTGATTAGTTACTACCAGAGGGATGAACACCCTGTCTGGATAGTACACACGATAGAGGGAGTAAAGAAACGGACGTGGATGCGGAAAAAAGCTGCAGAGCCCCCTAAAAGATACGGAAAGGAGCTGCAGAGGCCCCTAAAATATATGAAAAGGAGCTGCAGAGGCCCCTAAAAGATATGGAAAGGAGCTGCAGAGGCCCCTAAAAGATATGGAAAGGAGCTGCAGAGGCCCTAAAAGATATGGAAAGGAGCGGCGGGGGAGAGCCTCAGAGAGAAGAGGCCAGAAAGGTGAGACTGGAGGGAGGAAAAATGAGAAGTTGTGCGAGATAGATTCCATTACCAAACAGGCGACAGCCCTAAAACTGAAGGGTTTTTTTGAGAATTCTCAAAAAAACCCTTCAGTTGTGCAAGATAGATTCCATTACCAAACAGGCGACAGCCCTAAAACTCTTCCATGTCATGCACAAACACTGATATCAAGATAGATGGCCCGCCCGACCACTGATTGAGAATCGGGTTGAAAGGCACGCCGCCCAAAACTAGTAGTAGAATGTGGGAAGTAGCACGACTCACATGCTGGCGCGCAGACAAGAAGAAGACTAATAACGGCGGCGAGAAGAATTTGGTCCTTTGTAGTAGTACAAGCCATTTTGTGTCCGACTCGGGAGTTGGTGAGCTCCGATCTCCGCCGAGTCCGGCGGTCTTAACTATCTCTCAGGCTGGGCAATCTCGCGGCGTACGTGAGTGTCTCGACGACTCAAAAGTCACCTCGATTCGGGAATCGGCGAGCGCCCGATCGCAGAGTCTGACGGTCTTCACGATCTCTCAAGCTGAGCGATCTCGCGGCGTGAGCCAAAGCGACGTGTCTCGATGACGTGTCTCGACGACTCGTCGAGATCTTTCAGGCTGAAGCGGCAGATCGCGCGACGAGGGGAACGCGGGTACTCGACACGAGAATGGCAAGCAGGCGTGACAAAGGATATTAGTAGTACTAGATCTGTTGTGCGGCACAGCCAGCACAAAGTCTAAAGCGTGCACCACATTGGCAGCGCAAGGCCTTGCCGCAAAGCAGCGCAAAGCCTTTCCGCGGAGCAGCGCAAGTCTTTGCGGAGCAGCACAATTGCGGAGCAGCGCAAGCCTTTGCGGAGCGGCATGATGGGCAGTGGGCAGTGCGGCCGGCAGCGAGCACAGATACTACTAAACTGCTGGGAAGGCATTCGTCGAATGAAAAGGAGACATCAACCTGTCCTTACGAACACGCCACATGATTGCCGTTTTGTTCGATGTCCTCCTCACGTGACAGCGAACATGCGTTCGAGTACGATGCTCGCATAGACACCTCTCATACAACGTGGTATGGGACTCGGCGTAAGGTGTAGCCACGTGATCGTCGTTTCTGCTCATAGCTGCTTATAGCTGCTTAACCCTACTCGCCGTAAGGTGTAGCTGCTCAAAACTAACCTATGTCTCTTCCACCCTCCGCTCTTCTACGTACTAGCGACTTTACTGAACTATGTCTTCTCTACGTTGCTGCTCAAGGCTGCTCATTGCTGCTCGAAACGAAACTAAAATACATGTCTCCCCACCCGCTCCCCTCGTGTACGTAGTTGCTGCGCGTGTACTAGAGACACACGCCATTGCGCGTGCATGCCTTGTCTTGTCTACCACTCTACCACGCCTTCTCCCCACATTGCTGCCAAAAGCTGCTAAAAAAACAAAGGGCGTGGAACATGGTTACCTCTCTGAAACGTACTATAACTTACTTTAGCACAGTGTTTACCAAATAAACCATTTTAAACCGTTCAGGCAGATGTTCCACGCGCTAAACCCGTACCCAAACTGGTAGAATGGGGAGCCTAGGCTCAATGTAGGAGCCTGCCTCGATCCGAGCTCGAGCCTGGCAAGGCTCGCAGGGGGACAGCGCTGCAATGATATTGGCGAAACCAGCGAACATGCTGCGAAAATTCTTTTGTACACAGATTATGTTCGCACCAGTGCATAATTTTCCGTACACGTATGGAGCTCCCTCAAATGTGGTGCTGGCGACAGGATGGAGAGTGGGCGATTTGCCGAGAGAAAAGGTAAATGTTATAGGGGAAACCCCCTTTGATATTACCCCGGCTGTCGATCTTAGGGCGCGTCCCCTCCCTCGATCGATCCTGCCCTCAATCGATCGAGGGACAGCTACTGTGTCATAATTGACAGGGTAACCAGATTTCGAGACAGCTTGCGAATATACCATAATTGATGCTCAACGATCTTGTCACATCCGCTGGTGAGGATCGATGTGCCTTCGTGGCCACACCGATCTCAGCTTTTGTAGGATCGAGAGTTTTTCCCCCTTGTATTTTCGATCCTGTCACCCAGGGCTCAAGATCGATCCGCGGGTGTCACCTCCTACCAATCCCGCCCCAATTTTGCGATCGGTGAGCCCGATCGGTTTTTCACAGCGATCTCTCGATCGATTGAAGGAGGGGACGCGCCAGGGTCCTCGCTATCATACATTTTTGTCTGTTTTTCTGAGATATCAGACGCAATTTTTCTGAGTTATCTGATTTGCCAGAAATTGATTCTTTGGTTCATCTGATTGATAAGAAAGAAAATCCGTATTCATCTGATTCATCAGACATGTATTCTACTTCCGTCTGAAACCGAATCATATTACTAGGGGGGATTTCGAGTGTGACACACAGGCATAGCGAATCTACTGTGCCGCGACGGTGAGAATCTGCTGCATTAGGGGGGCATCTTTCTCTGACATGGCGAATCTGCTGTGTCACGGGTGATTTTGTTTCACTCGCACAAGGCGAATCTGTTGTGTCGGGGCGGATTTCCCGTGACAGGGCAAACCTGCCATGCGGGCCTAAGTTATCAGGGCAATTACCCTGTTTTGACTGAAATTATAGGGTGTTTTTTCAAGGAGCCCTGATTTTCACAAGGTTTTTTTCGGACCAGCCCGTAAAACTGAAGGGTGATTATTGAGTCAGCTCGGATCTCTCCGGGGAGTTCTCAAGGGGACCCGTATAATTTTAGCAGACATGTTCTCCCCGACCTGCCTTGCATTCCTCTCCGTCTCCCTCTAAACACACGTGGGCCACTTTTAGTGAATTTCCTAACCACTCTCTCCTTGTTGGCCTCCAAGTGTCTGATTGCCCTGTTCTACGTCGACATGGCTTAGAAGGCTTATAAGGAGAGAGTGTCTGATTGCCCTGTTCTCCCTATGTACTCTTCCTCATCGTATTTTTTTCGAAGTCTAAAATAAGTATCTCGCTCACCCCTCCAGAGCCACTCCATCTCCAATCTCCCCAGCCCTCGTGCAACCCACTGTGAGTTTCCCGCGAAATTCTGGCAATGCATGTTTTCAGGCCTTTTCTGGCTCGAACCCGGATTCGTCAAGGTTTTTTTTCCGCTGGCTCGGATTTTACAGGGTCTTTTTCACAGGGGCCCGGATCGTCCGAGCTAGCAAAAATCCTAGCAATAGCCCTGGTCACGGCGAATTTGTTGTGACACGAGCAATACGATGCAACTGGTCAAGTTTGAACCAATGGCCTCTACAATACTGAAAGCTAGATTGTACAATATTTCCATTTGATTGGTCAGACAACAAATTGTCAAATATCTGATACATCAGACACAGAAACGAAAAAAATATGATGCATCAGAGGGCCCGAAGGGCCTGTCTGACGCATCAGGCGCCCTAAAATCCTAGCGAGGGCCCTGGGACGCGCCCTTAATCCGCCTACCCACTTGTTTACACGCCTCGTTGGGTATCGAGGTAAGGAATTTCCACTCCCAGATGAGCAGTGCAAAACCCCCTTTTGGGGGGCTGGCAGAACTCGCCTGCACTAGGGTTTGAACCCGAAACCTTGTCCTTCGGAAGTCCCATCTTACTTGACTGGGCCACTTCAGGATGATTTTCTGAGAGAAGAGGGTTCCCATCTCGTTGCTGCTCAAAGCTGCCCACAACTGCGTCTCTCCCATCCACTTTCGCTTCCTCTACTTCACTCACTTCACCACACTCAACTAAGAGGGTGTCTCAAATCCCTCGGTCCACCCTGGTTCTATGCGGTCGATGTGGACCAGTCCACCAAACCACAATGGACTCGAGCGTGGATTCGGTTATTGGGTGGTGGTGGACCGTGGGTCTTGCACGGACGAATGGGACTATAATGGGGAGGCTTGTCTGGTTCGGCGAGCCGGTCCACCTCGGACAACTGAATAGTCATACTTTTGACGAGCACTTACGAGCTCCCCTTTCTATCGTCGTAAAACTTGGCAACACGCACTGCCCTTTCAAGGCAGTCAACTTGTACTGTGCAGTTCCGCATCATGGTAACCCAGTTTTGGGCAAAATGTACAGTTGCGCTCGTCAAGGCGCCACTGTAGATTGCATCTGCGGACCAAAGAAGACATTGTTACAATCCCAAATGGGACTTAGCCAGGGATCGGCTCAGGGTTGTTCGCAGGTGATGTTGCAGCGGAAGTGTTGACCTCAGATCCGAGTGTATGTAAAATGACTGAGATAGTGAATAACATGCATACATCGAGTTTATATAGGAAAATATAGGGAATACGAAAAGTCCTAGACTAGCCATGTACTCTAAGGGGTACATTCCCTTATTGCAGCGAAGTTCAAACCGTGCGACGCGGGAACCTGTTTTGAACCTGTTTCCGCTCTTTCCACTTCAAATGTTAACTGCCTGCATCGGTCTTGATCTGACGGTTGCTGGCGTCGCTTCGACTCTTCTGACGCCTCGACTTCGTACTCGGTAGAGTCGGCTCCTGCAAGATACAGGAATGCCTTCTCATTGAATTTCATATCGTAACATTCCCCTTCATTCCTGGGCGTGCAGAGGGCTGACTCGCTTGACTACTCCGGTGAGGTCGGAGCAGTGTACTGCTGATGTGGCAGTCGCTTGGTGAGGAATTCGGCTGCCATCTCAGTAGTGGGGCAATATGCGAGGTCAACCTTGCCCTGGTCAATTTCGTCCTTGACGAAGAAGTATCGGAGTGCGATGTGCTTCGTGCGGTTTACGAACCCCAGCTTGTTCGCGATCTTTATGGCGCTATGGTTGTCGCAGTGAAGGCGAAGGGTAGGCGAGGTTGGGATTTTCGCTTCCTGTAGCAGCTCCTGCAGGTACAGACCTTCGTGAACTACTGCTGTTGCGGCGATGTATTCTGCTTCAGCAGATGACAGTGCAACCAGTTCCTGCTTCTGTGAGTTCCAAGAAATTGGTCCAGTTGGCTCCAGGCGGAAGACAAAGCCGGTTCGGGACCGTCGATTCGCAGGGTCAGCGGCATGATTTGCGTCTACGTAGCCGTTGAGGTTGTCGTCAGCGTGGAGTAGGAGAGCCCGATGTCAGGTGTGGAGATGAAGTACTGCAGGGCGCGCTCCAAGTCCAGTTGGTTCTCGACTATTGGTTTACGGGAGTATTGTGCCAGTTGGCTGGCGATGTACGAAAGGTCGGGTCGGCATGTGACAGAGGCGAACAGCAGGCACCCCAGTTGCTGCTGGTACAGTTGGAGTCCTACGGGCGACAGAGGTTTGTTATCCGTTTTGTAGCTGGCGCTGGGGTTGCGGTAAGGAGTGGAGAGTGGTGCGCGTGAAATGTTGAAGCGTTCCCCCAGCTGCTCTGCGTACTTGGAGGCTGACAGATGAATTGCTTCTGACGGGTAGGTGATGTTCAGCCCCAAAAACTGTGTGACGTTGTGGTAGATGGTGATGTCCACGCGTTGCGCCAGGTTCTCCTCGGACTGGTTAAGGAGTTTGTTGCAGGTGCCGGTGTAAAGTAGGGCGTCGACGTAGACGGTCAAGAGGATGTAATCGCCGTTGAAGTGGAGGCGGTACATTCCCGGGTCGTGCGGCAGTTGTTTGAAGTCGATTTCCAGGAGAATTCTGTGCAAGTGCTGCTGCTAGAGGCGCGGCGCCCATTTTATCCCGTAGAGGGATTTGTTCAGTTGACAGACCTTGGGGTCTCCTTCCCCGTAGGTGTGTGGTCGTTCCACGAAGATGGTTGCATCCTCCAGCGTGTACAAAAACGCGTTCTTGACGTCATTCTGTCGTAGGTGCTTGACGGCAGCAATGGCGAGTAGAATCCTGACGGAGGTATGACGACTGACGGGAGCAAAGGTTTGGTCAAAATCAATGTCGTGGCACTGGTCGTACCCGCGTACCAACCCAACGTGCTTTGAAGCACTCGATGGTACCGTCAGCGTTGGTTTTCAGGCGGAAAAGGAAAAAAATATATACATATATATTTCCCGCTTAGCACCCTCCTCCCCTTCACTGCTGCACGATCGACGAGAACCCAGGTGTCACGCGATTCCAGTGCCTTCAGTTATGCGTCCATAGGGGCACACCATTCCTTAGCGTGGGGCCGATTAGGGCCTAGCATGGATTCTTG